GTGGCGGGGTCAGGTCCTTCGCGTCGTCCGTATTACCCGCGCGCTTTCGGAGTCGCTTGGCCCGAGGTGTTGTCTCGGGCTCGCCGGTGTCGCTCTCAGCCACCTTGCGTTTGCCTGCACGAATTGCGCTGGCCCGTCGTCGCGTACGGGGAGCCGGGGTATCTTCGTCCTCAGCCCCCGACGTTATTTCAATCACCTCCCCAGGCGTCTCCTTCTCACCCTGCTCCTCCTCCGCGCCCCCGGTCCCCGATCCGGCGACGAGTTTCGCCCTCCGCGCTGCCTGGCGACGTTCCTCAGCGGCTTGCGCATCTCTGCGTCGTGCCTCGCGTACCTCTGCGGCCTGGCGCGCTTCCTGTCTCCGTCGTTCTTCCGACGCCTCGGCCTCCCGTCGTCGTTCGTCTTCGGCCTGACGCCGTTCTGCGTCCGCAGCATCCCGCGCCTCTTGCGCTCGTCGGTCGTCCTCTGCTTGCCACTCAGCAAGCCGGGCCTGCGCTTCGAGCAGTTGCCCTGTGGCCGTGGACATGGTCGCCCGAACCTCGTCCTCCACGCTTCCTTGCAGTTCCCGCGCCACCAGTATCTCCTCCGCGGCCGACAACCAGTCCTAGCATGGGTTAGCGGGAACTGCTCGAGGTCTCGGCTACTGCCACGCACCTGCTGCCGCTCCATATCAGCTACGGCGAGCTCGACGTCTTCCCGACGATCGTCGTCCAGATCCGGCATCGCGTCCCCCATCCCGGCGAAATACTGGACTTCCGTTTCGTATGCGACAACCGCCTCCTTCTTCTTCATCGTCCGGAGGTCTTCGGTCGTGTAGGCGGGAACGTGCTGGGTGCTGTGCGACATGGATGGATGATGTTGGAGGTGATGAAGAGAAGAGCAAGAGCGAATGTTGGTCTTCGTCGAAATATCAACAATCCGTCATGTGACCGCGCTTCCTTTGGTCTCACGCCACACCTTCGTTCACCCACCCACCTGCCCACTTCGCAATTCTTGCTCGCCGTGTACGTTGCCCCGGAGGGTCAACACATAAAGTCCCCGGGGGATGTAAGGGTTGAACCCTTTCGTTCCGTGCAGTCCGACCTCCCCTATCCCCTATCGACCCCTCTCCGACTCTTCGGACACGCTCGCACATGACTCGGACGTCACGAACCCGTACCGGACACACGTGATAACGGATCAGACAGCTCGGATCAATCCTTCGTATATCTTTTGTTCTCGGACTCTAATACTTGGACTATACTAGCACCATTATTCGTTCCTGGTGCCTTTTCGTCTCGGACTTTTCCTTCATCTGACATTTCTCTTAGCTACAAAAGCCTCCTGTACTCGTAGTTAGAAGAATCAGATTTGTTCCCCCCCACATCGAGTCAGAATCTAAGTCGTCCGAGAAGCTTTCCTCCTCCGTTGTCAGAGTTCGCCGTCGCCCGAGTCCGAGTCCGATCCGAAGCCAGTTCTCCTGCCATCCTTATCATTCTCCAGCCGTCCTCATCTTACTATCCGAAGCCGAAGTTGTTTGCTCCGCGTCCGAGCGCGTCCGAAGCTATCCGAAGCCATCCGAAGCATCCGAAGTTTCCTAGTAGTTGTTTTCACTCTCGGACTCATCGTTTACCACACTTAGTTCATTCGGGTGTCGCACGGACTTGTCCTGCCGGAGGCGGACCCTCGCATTTCATTTGACTATACTACTAGTCTACGTGTATATTCACTACTACAATACTTTGGCCGTCTCGGTGTAGCCCGAGAAGTACCAGAGGCGTTAAATGTTAAGCTTCAATATGAAGCTCCATCTACACGTCGCTTTCAATTTTTGTCCTCATCCATCACTTTCAAATCGATTTCGCTTTCCCCTGGCTCATATCTTGTCCATACATTTTCCTGTCTGCGCCGCTTAGGGTAGGGCTCAAGTCTATTTTGCTTGTCAACTGCCATGACTTACTTCCGACATTGAACAGTGACTACCACTTGAATTTGCACCCCACTGGCCACATCTTCAACGAATTGAGCCTGCCGTGGAAGGAGCTGGAAGAGGGGCTGCACATTGTAGCAGAGACTGCCTGTGTTCCCCTTAGCATTAGCGATGAGCTCAAGGTGTGTAGCCAACCCACTGCACCCCGTTCGCCATTATAAATGCTGAGTCGGGTCCGAGGTCAAAGGATTCTTCGAGGAGTAGCATGTCTCGCTATGACATTGGGTTTAAACGAACACTATATCCTGGAGACTCCCCCCCTCAACTCCCAATTATGGATCCTCACTTACACCCGCCGAGAGGGCAAGGGAGAAGAGACTTAGGGACGACCCCATGGCAGATGTTATAGGACCGCTGTTCGTTGGTTGTAGACGCTGCAGGGCGAGAATCAAGTTGTCCCCCAAGAGTGTATATGATTCCTTTCATTGGAAGACACACAAAGAGCAATGCCTGAAGAAACCCATTGGTGCTCTTGTCACAAAGAAGTCCAACTCGCAGAGATCTGTATGTCATCCCTTTATCCTCAATTAGACTGGCCGAATCACGTGTGGGTGTTATAGGCACGCCTAGGAGGCCCCTTAGGGGCTACAACAGGCGTTTCCGGCTACGGACCCAGGCTGCACACACACATGGCTACACGGAGATGTCATGGACTATGGACTTGTACATATTCGAGCATGCTGTACTTATTCCTACTGTAAGGGCAACCTCAAGATGGCCGACAGCGCAGGCCTAGCAGAGGGAGAATCCAAAGATAATGAATAAGACTAACTACAGTACATGAGAGGGCTGCTCACCTAGCAGAGGGAGAATCCAAAGAGAACAGGATAAGGATTCTCCATGCTAGGAAGTGAAGTATATACTGTAGTAGCGTGAGAGGAATGCAGGATAACTGTACAGTACACCAGCCACAAGTCCGAACAAATATCACAAGGTACAAGGAAACATGTGATAATGAAGTGGAGGGTGAATGCACAGGAGTCGTGCCAGCGACCTGGGGAAGTAAGGGCGAAGGGTAATGAAGTGGGAAAAGAGGATAGAGGTAACCCGGACGAGCCCCGAAGAGTATAGACGAGTCCGAGCAAGTCTGAAGTGTCCGAAGCAAGTCCGAGTGAGTCCGGAGTGTCCGAAGTGCGGGAAGACTCCGGAGTCACTGGATGTGGCTCGGATGCGAAAGGAGTGGGCAGAAAGGAAGTGGAAAGGAAAGGGAGCGAAAAGGAACAAAGGGGAACAAAGGAAATGTAGGTAAGAGTCCATGGGATGAAGGAAAGGAGAGAAAATAGGAGTGTCCCCTTACAAGATGACACTAAAATCAACAGATTTGGGTCAGATGGTAGGAAATGGATGTGGAAACAGAAGGGGGCACCTTTGCAGGATCTGGAGGTTGAAGGAACTGTCAAGCATGGGGGTGGAAATACTATGGTCTGGGGGGTGATGGAATGGAATGGGGTGGGGAGAATGGTTGAGGTTGAGGGGAGGATGAATGCCCAGCAATATGTGGCCATTCTAGCTGATGGTCTCCTTTCCACCATTGAGGAGTGCAATATTCCTGCAGAGGATGTGATCTTTCAGCAGGATAACAGCCCCAAGCAGACCTCAAAATTGGCACAGAAGTGGTTTGAGGATCAAGAGATTGTGGTCATGGACTGGCCTGCCCAGTCTCCTGATATTAATCCCATTGAACACCTCTGGGAGCTGTAGTAGTGAGTAAACACGTAGACTAGTAGTGTAGTCAAATAAAATGCAAGGGTCCGCCTCCGGCAGGACAAGTCCGTGCGACACCCGAGTGAGCTAAGTGTGATAACAATGAGTCCGAGAGTGAAAACAAATGTATAAGAAACTTCGGATGGCTTCGGATGGCTTCGGACGTGCTCAGACGCGGAACAAACAACTCGGGTTCGGATAGTACAACGAGGACGACAGGAGAATGATAAGGACGGCAGGAGAAACTGGCTTCGGATTGGACTCGGACTCGGACGATGGCGAACTCTGACAACGGATGAGGAGAAAGCTCTCGGACGACTTAGATTCTGACTCAATGTGGGGGGGAAACAAGGCTTAGTTCTTCTAACTACGAGTACAGGAGGTTTTTGTAGCTAAGAAAATATCAGATGAGGGAAAAGTCCGAAACAAAAAGGCACCAGGAACGAATAATGGTGCTAGTATAGTCAAAGTATTAGAGTCTGAGAACAAAAGAGATATGAAACATTGATCCAAAATGTCTGATCCGTTATCACGTGTGTCCGGTACGGGTTCGTGACGTCCGAGTCATGTGTGAGTGCGTCTGAGGAGTCAGAGAGGGGTCAATAGGGGATAGGGGGAGTCAGACTGCACGGAACGAAAGGGTTCAACCCTTACAGAGCACATCAAACACCAACTCAACACCTACAATACACCATCTAGAGGAGTACATGAATTATGGGAGAGGGTTGCAAAGGTATGGGATGGGATTGATGTGGAGGTATGACAGAACCTTATATAAAGCCTTTCCAGGAGGATTGAGTCCGTTATCATGGCCAAAGGGGGGAATACCAAGTATTAGATAGTACACTCAAAAAACCCTTTCAATGCATCCCTTGATTAGAAATTCTGTAGAATATTCTAGACTTATTCAATTGACTTGAATCAAGATTTGTCATCCAGCTGAGAAGGGGCACTACAAACTCTACACTGACCCTGAGCTACCATTTTCAGTAGTTCCTCCGTTATTCAGTGTTTCATGCAGAAGTGACCAACATAGAAAGGGTTTTTTGAGTCACTGTAGTTGGCACACAGGAATCTAGAACAGTCTGGACTCTGATGTCATATGACATCACTATGGCACAATATCGCACCATGGTCCCGAACATGATGTAGCCCCATGATAAGATGCTTATCACAGCACTATCAGTCTAAATGGGGCAACCACTTCTCACAAGAAGCATAGCGTGTAATCACTGATGGGAGTCCTGTTGGAAAGACCCACCTAGATCATCAAGACCGCATGGTAAGGTACCCAAACTAATAAGGCTCCAGATAAACAAATATCCGACCTCTAGTATAAGTACTTGAGCTTGAGGGACTGAAGAGAACCCATCAAAAATGTTTGCCCACTTAGTTGTGCTACATTTTCACTCAAGTTCCTTCCTAGCGACCTTTACACCACTAACTAACCTAGCAACGACAGACCCGGTCGCCAGCGCTTGAGCATGGTTAACCCTAAGGTACATTTTCTTGGAATCTTGATGCGGAGGAAATGTCGTGAGCCAAAGTGACGTAAAAAGCGAGATGAGGATCCAAGCTCAGCTCGGTCAAGCTTGATGCTGTTTGTGGAGTCATCCAACTTGCCTCCCAGAATGATTTTGCCTCCATAACACCCATCATCAGAAAGGCCTAGACAAGCATATTGATCCTTCTGTATGGCCTCCTCCTGCCAATCAAACTCCACCCAAGGAGACTAAAAATGAATAGGTTTGAGTTTCTCTGAAAAGAAGTAGGACATAGAAGCCACACCTTTGCATTCACCTCTTTTGCACAGGCAGCCAAGTAAGATTTGCTATCCTCAACCTCACTATACAGAATAGTGTCAGACTAATATTGAATTTATAGCATTAAGTTCACTCTACCTGGTAAGCCCAAGGACAGTAGCAACAGCAGAAGTTGCTTCAGCACTTGAATGCTTGGCCACCAGCTTGTCCAGCATCTCCATAGAAATGTGTTCAGGTGAAATGCACTGGTTGGATACCAGCCTCCATATTTCATATTGAGCACCATATAGTACCCCACGCCTGAGCATGAACTGCTGGATTCACTGATGGGATGCCTACCCATCAATATGTTGTTAATGAAGAATATACTATTTGAAGGTGGGGAGGTACAAACAATAATAACTGGTGATGCACTCATGAGACTAGCCGATGATCTCTGGTGTTCATATGACACCCGTCGCCACAGACCCAAGTAGGTGAGGCCTTGTGCTTGCCATGATTGGATGCCAATATCTCAACTAAGAGTACCATCAGCACAAGTCAATCACTAAGTGACAGTGTTGAGGCTTACCTGGATCTTCAAGGCCACTTGGCATCATTTCAACTATTGCCAGTTCAGCATTGCTAGCCTAAGATAAATAAAGCAGCTTAATAATAGTGAACCAACAAGAAAGGTTTACTTGCTAGTGAAATGGACTCATCGGCTATGTCAGCTAGTGTGATGTCCCCAGCATCATTGTAGCTGTATTCTGATGTCTTTTGATCCGACATATGGTTAGATGTTAGGATACCCAGATGTTGCAACTATCAACTATGTTACCGACATTGGTGCCATGAAAATGAAAATACTTTGCTAGTTCTGACTGTGGCCTTACTGTAAGGGGACATTCCTAATTTCTCCTATTCCCCTGTCCCTTTCCCTTCCTCCTCGTTTCTTTCTCTTTTCCTTCATCTCACGGGCTCTTACATACATTCCTTTCGTTCCCCTTTGCTCCCTTTCCTTTCCACTTCCTTTTCGCCCACTCCCTTTGCATCTGAGTCACGTCCTGTGACTCCAAAGTCTTCCTGCACTTCGGACACTTCGGACTTGCTCGGACTTGCTCAGACACTTTGGACTACCTCAGACTTGCTCGGACTTGTCTATACACTTCGGGGCTTGTCCAGGTTACCTTTGTCCTCTTTCACCACTTCATTACTCTTCACCTTTACTTCCCCAGGTTGCTGGCACGACTCCTGTACATTCCCCTTCCACTTCATTATCACATGTTTCCTCGTACCTTGTGATATTTGTTCGGACTTGTGGCTGGTGTACTGTACAGTTATCCTGCATTCCTCTCACGCTACTACAGTATATACTTCACTTCCTAGCATGGAGAATCCTTATCCTGTTCTCTTTGGATTCTCCCTCTGCTAGGCCTGCGCTGTTGGCCATCTTGGAGTTGCCCTCACAGCAGAACAGGATCTCCCATCCTGGCACCAGAGCCCTATGGAAAACGTCCTGCGCCACTCCGGACTTGTTCTCAACGTCTCTCCGGTTTTGCGGACATTCCAGATGCTCTCCTGCTACTCCCACCCACCTCTGAGGACCCAAGGAACTCCATCCCTTGCTTCCCTGATGACTCTGAGATGCCAGGCACCTCCAGCCAGATCCCGCCATCCCAGCCAGTCGCTTCAGGACCGGACTCCGAGACTTTGCAGACCTTGTGGGCTCAGACGTACGAACACCAAACTCAAATCGGCTCCATCCAGGATACACTCACCCGAATTGAAGGACTCCTCTTAACACCCCGTCCAACTACTCCGAAAACAACTCCGGACTCCGAGCTGAGGGGCACTGAAGCCTCCCAGCGCGCCCGAGTCGATCCGAAAACACCCCCCGTTCCCGCTTGAAGCCCGCCTCTCCCCCAATCTTCGACGGAAACCGCAAGGATGGCCGCGCATTCTACAACACGTGCTCCATCTACTTCCAGCTCTGTCCGGACCACTTTCCGACGGAGCAGGCCAAAATCCTCTGGTGTCTCTGCTTCTTTCAGAAGGATCGTGCCAAGGAGTACGCAGACATGGTGCTCCGGAGTCCGAAGGATCCGTACTTCGAGTCCTGGGCCGCGTTCGCAACTGAATTCCGGACTCGCTTCCTTCCAGATCGGGAATGCAAAGCCGCCATGCTAAAACTGGAGTCCACCCGGTACCATCAAGGCCATCGGACTTTCCAGGAGTACCTTGATGAGTTCCGAGACCTTGTAGACCAGTCCGGATACACCGAGGGCTCCAACATCACAATGAAGTTCCGCTGCGGATTGGACTCCATCATCCAGAGCCGCGTCGCCGAGTCTGCAGACTGTCTGGACGAGGATGACTTCGAGGAATGGTACAGGGCAGTGCAGCAGGTTGCTGACAACCGTGCTGCTAACCAATCCTTCCACTTTGGCGTGCACTCCGGAAACTCCGGACACTCCGGTTCCCTCGTCCGGCCAGCAGCCAGCTCCGGAGTTGCTCGGACTCCTGCGGGTGTACTCCCCGCGCCTCGGACTCAGCTCCCACCTCTGCAACCCTGCTTCCAACTTCCGCCTCCTCCAAAGGCTCTCTCATCCGGCGTCCCCATGGACGTCGACCACACCCGCTCCCGGCCCGCCGCTTCACAGCTCTGCTACCGATGCGGCAAGCCCGGCCACATGTCCCGCGAGTGCCCACTTCGGTACGACGTCCGGTTCATGACCACCGAGGAGCGGATGTCCACCATTGAAGATCTCTTGACCGCAGCGGATGTTGTAGAAAGTGCAGGGACTTCAGAAGGAATAGATGCTGAGGGAACGGCTCCGGTTGAGGAATCGGACACGGCGGATTTTGTCTGGACCAACAAGTGATCAGTGCGACCTCGTTGGTGAATAACCGATTTGCTTGTCTTAGCGTAGACGAAATAGACGATTCCAATCACTCCGATGATTTGTCCGACGTTAAGCAAGCAACTCCGGTTACAATCCGCACTCTCCGAAGGTTTCACCCGCAGTGGGAACGGCGGCTACCCAGTAGCTATAAGATCTCCGCGCTGCCCGGGAAGCTTTCGCTAGATATACTTGTTGAAGTGCAGAGCACGGATACACAACACTGATGCACCCTGCAGGCCCTGGTGGACTGTGGAGCCACCGGAGTCTTCATGCATCCGCGCTTCGCTGATGCCCATGGTTTCACCCGACGCAAGCTGTCCGCTCCGATTCCGGTCTTCAACCTCAGTAAAAACGTGTTGGTGGTCATCAGTCTCCATTCGGGAACATTTGGTACTCATACGTCTCCAAATGGTATTGGATCGGTATCCATTTTACCAAATCGCGGACTAGATAGTTACGGTTTGGTGGAAATTAAGGACAGTGTGGGAGAAAATGTGTCCTGATGCGCGCTTAGAGATATTTCTCAAAATCCTGTGTAAATCTATTGTCCCCCCATAGCGCAACCTAAGAATACAAGATTTGGATACTATGGAACATCCCAAGTAATTAGAGTGGCAGTATGGACGGTGTGCTGGCCCTCAACGGCTCGAAAATGGTGAAACCAATATTTTTATTCCCACGGAAAGTCATGCATTGGTGTGCAATTCACTTATCCAACACCTTCCCACACTTTTGTTTTTACTGAGCTTCAACGTCGACGGATCACCAAACGAGAATGGATCTATCTCCGAAGTCGTGGACCTTGTACTCCGGTTCAAGGATCACATGGAATGGATGCTTTTCGCAGTCACTAACATCGGACAGCAGGATATCATCCTCAGATACACCTGGCTTCAGAAGCACAACCCCGAGATTGACTGGCAGACAAAGGAGGTGACCATGAGCCGCTGTCCGTCAGGATGCGACACCTGTTGGAAGGAGTTCCGCCATGACAAGCTGACCCGACGCAAGGAGTCCGTGCGGCTCTGGGAGTGTTGTACGGGTCCGATGCCAAGGGTTGAGGAACTGCACTCGGACGACCTCCCAGAGCTTCAGGACTGCGAGGATGACAATGACAATGACAATGCTACAACTCCGGACGACTCCGGACTTGAGAGGGGTGACCGTATCTTTGTGGCTATTCCTCCTCCGACTCCGGAGTACCTTTGGAGTCTTCGGGAAGAACATATCCGGGCTTCGGAGACAGTCTCGCAGTGCCTTGCATTGGCTTTCCAGCGCAACAAACCCCACAATCCTCGGAACAGCGCAGTCCCGGACTTCCTCCAGGAATTCGAGGACGTCTTCGCAAAGGAGTCCTTTGATGAACTGCCCATGCCACGTCTGTGGGACCATGCCATTGAGCTACTGGACGGAGCGGAACCGACCTCTACCAAGTGCTATCCGCTGTCCCCAGCGGAGCAGAAACAGCTGGACGAGTTTCTGGAAGAAAATCTCTGGACTGGTCAGATCCGCCTCAGCAAGTCGCCCATGGCTGCCCCGGTGTTCTTTGTTAAGAAGAAGGACGGATCGCTCCGCTTGGTCCAGGACTACCAGAAGCTCAACAACATGATGGTCAAGAATCGGTACCCACTTCTGCTCATCTCGGACTTGGTGGACAAACTCCGGAACACTCGCTACTTCTCCAAGCTTGACGTCTGGTGGGGTTTTAACAATGTCCGGATCAGGGAGGGTGACAAGTGGAAGGCAGCATTTCGGACTACGCGTGGACTCTTCGAACCTTTGGTGATGTTCTTCGGACTGACCAACAGCCCATCTACCTTCCAGACCATGATGAACGACTTGTTCCGGGAGCTCATTACAGAAGGTGTGGTTATTATCTATCTGGACAACATCCTGATCTACACCAAGACGCGCGAAGAGCATTGCCGGGTTCTCAAGCTTGTCCTAGAGATCCTCCAGCGGAACAAGCTCTTCCTCCGAGCGGACAAGTGTGATTTCGAGCAAACCAAGGTGGAATATCTCGGAGTTGTCATCTCCGAGGGTAAGATCGAGATGGACCCCGTGAAGGTCTCCGGAGTTGCGGACTAGCCGACCCCTCGGACTCGGGCTGAACTCCAATCCTTCCTCGGGTTCGTCAACTTCTACTGCCGCTTCATCAAGGGCTACTCGCATATCGCCCGGCCTCTCTTTGACCTCACTTGCGCGAAGGAATGGCAGTGGAACAACTCCGCTCAATCCGCATTTCTTCGGATCAAAGAGCTGATCACTTCAGAACCTGTTCTTGTCTTTCCAAAGGAGGATCGGCCGTACCGGGTTGAAGCGGACTCATCGGACTACGCTACGGGTGCAGTCTTGTCACAGCTTGATCCGGATGATGGTAAATGGCATCCTGTTGCATTCTACTCTGAAAGTCTACAGGCTGCGGAGCAGAACTACGAAATACACAACAAGGAGATGCTTTCAATCATCTGGGCGCTCGAAGAATGGTGGCACTACCTTGAAGGCACAGAGACTCCGTTCAAGATCTGGACGGACCACAAGAACCTGGAGTACTTCATCAAGGCCCAGAAGCTCAACCGTCGTCAAGCCCGCTGGTCCCTATACCTCTCCCGCTTCGACTTCACTCTCCAGCATCATCTGGGTCAGACTATGGGTAAACTGGACACTCTCTCACGACACTCGGATCACTCGGATGGTAAGGATGACAACAAGGATGTAGTGATGCTCAAGCCATCCTACTTTGCTGTCTGTGCCACAGGTGTCACTCTTAAAGGGGAGGAGAAGGATATCCTCACGGCTATCCGGACTGGAGTGCAAGATGCGAAGTTCAAAGACGCAGTGGCAAAGGCGGCAGAGGAGCTGAAGAAGACCCAGGGCAGTCGCAAGACAGTCCGAAGTGCAGAATGGTCCCAATCGGACGGACTCCTCATGTTCCGGGGTAAGATCTACGTTCCGGACTCACCGGACTTGTGTCGGACTATTGTACCTCAGCACCATGACACCAAGGTCGCAGGACACGCCGGCAGATGGAAGACCCTAGAGCTCGTTTCGCGCAGCTACTGATGGCCCAACATGTCCCGGTACGTCGGATCCTACACCCGCCATTGCGACCTCTGTCTCCAGACAAAGGCCCAAAGGCATCTGCCCATGGGTGAACTTCATCCGCTTCCCATTCCGGATGAACACTGGGATTGTCTGAGTGTCGACTTCATCGTCGAGCTTCCGGAGTCTGATGGATTTGACACTGTCATGAATGTGGTCGACTCCGTAAGCAAACATGCCCACTTCATTCCGACTCACACCACAGTGTCTGCCCTCGGATCCGCGAACTTGTACCTGCAGAATGTCTGGAAGCTGCATGGACTCCCTCGGTCTGTTGTGTCTGACCGGGGTCCGCAGTTCGTTGCAGAGTTCACCCGGGAAGTCTATCAGATGCTCGGAATCAAGCTGGCTGCCTCCACTGCGTACCACCCTCAGTCCGACGGACAAACGGAACGGACTAACCAGGAACTCAAGTCCTATCTCCGGATCTTCGTCGGAGAGCGCCAGGAGGACTGGGCTCGCCTCCTACCTATGGCAGAGTTTGCGTACAACAACCAGGTCCATGCGTCCACTCAGCAGTCACCTTTCCTCCTAGATACTGGCCGACATCCTTGCCTTGGGTTCGAACCTCATCAGCCACCGTCTTGGATGGAGTCCGCAAACGAGTTTGTACACCGGATGAAGTCCGCAGCCGACGAAGCTCAGTCTGCATTGGTCAAGGCTCAGGATGACATGAAGCGCTACTACAATCAGTGTCGGACCCCTGCTCCGGAGTACCAACCGGGTGACAAGGTTTGGCTGGACTCGTCGGACATCAACCTTGCCCGACCCTCCCGGAAGCTCGGACACGCACGACTCGGTCCTTACAAGGTCGTCCGGAAGGTTGGCAAGGCAGCGTACCGACTCCAGCTCCCTCTGGGCTTATCCCGCCTCCACCCTGTCTTCCCCATGGTCAAACTCTTTCCCTTTGTCCCGGACCCCATTCCAGGTAGACACCCTGTTGCTCCACCCCCTCCACAGCTTGTTGATGGAGAAGAAGAGCATGAGGTAGAAGAGGTCCGGAATAGCAGACGGTTTGGTCGGGTCCTGAAGTATCTGGTACGCTGGCGAGGCTATGGCATCGAGCATGACTCCTGGGAGCCCGCGAGCAACCTCCAGCATGCTGCCCAGAAGGTCAAGGACTTCCATGATCGTCATCCGGACGCAGTACGCTCACTCCGGACGAGTCCGACGACTCCCGCACCGCTCTGGATGACTCCTACAGCACTGGACCAGTCCTGGGAGCATTGGCGCAGTCGGAAGGCTCCGGGCTCTGTGCAGTCGTACTTCGACATCTTCTCGCAGCAGTCCGGAGTTTCGGGGTTGGTGAATTCGTGGCGCGGCAGGCAGGAATCTTCGCGTCGGGTTGCCGCAACCTTGAAGGGGGGGTGATGTAAGGGGACACTCCTATTTTCTCTCCTTTCCTTCATTCCATGGACTCTTACCTACATTCCCTTCATTCCCCTTCGTTCCTTTTCGCTCCCTTTCCTTTCCACTTCCTTTCCACCCACTCCTTTTGCATCCGAGCCGTGTCCGGTGACTCCGGAGTCTTCCCGCACTTCGGACACTTCGGACTTGCTCGGACTCGTCTCGGACACTTCGGACTTGCTCGGACTCGTCTATACTCTTTGGGGCTTGTCCGGGGTACCTCTATCCTTTTCCCCCACTTCATTACTCTTCGCCCTTACTTCCCCAAGTCGCTGGCACGACTCCTGTCCATTTACCCTCCACTTCATTATCACATGTTTCCTTGTACCTTGTGATATTTGTTCGGACTTGTGGCTGGTGTACTGTACAGTTATCCTGCATTCCTCTCACGCTACTACAGTATATACTTCACTTCCTAGCATGGAGAATCCTTATCCTGTTCTCTTTGGATTCTCCCTCTGCTAGGTGAGCAGCCCTCTCATGTACTGTAGTTAGTCTTATTCATTATCTTTGGATTCTCCCTCTGCTAGGCCTGCGCTGTCGGCCATCTTGAGGTTGCCCTTACACGCACCCAATGCACCGACACCCCGGCACAGACAGTGAGCAAGACAGGGGAGGTATCACCTGATATACACGTGCTATTGACAGAGTGATATATGCTCAATGGTGATACATCATGGTCCCTCGTACTCTAAGCACTGTGGTTCATGCATCACAGTCGTGTTCCTATCAGAGCCTGTGATGTATGAAAACAGGCTCTACGCCTGTCTTGAGAAGCCCAACCTTAGACGGAGTGGCCAACGTAATCAGGCAGAGGCTAGAGATGAACTTGCCCCCAATGCAAAGGACAGAGACGTCGCTAGCGTGGGAAGAATGTGCAAATCGACCATACATCTTCAAGCATGGCTAGCGCAAGTAGCGCCGTTCAGGAGCAGGACGATGTCTCCATGTACGTTGGATTGGGTGGCATTGTTGTTGAGGACGACAAACGGGCTTTGGATGTCAGCCTGACGACCACGAACATGGGAATTGGGGATAATAGCATCAGAAAAAACCTCCCCCACACATTTCGTCAGAATTCTCCGCACTTATCAGAATTGCTGTAAGTAAGTGTCAATCCGGGGAATTGCCGCTATTTGGGACTACGTTGTATTATCATCTCAGTGTTTATCGGGTACTTATCCGGAATTATATTTCATGGGTATGATCTTGATAATTCTGGTCAATTCATAGAATTTGCAGTAAACTATTACATGGGTAAGTGAAGGTGAAGTGAGTCGGTGACGATGTGTTTCCAGATGTGTAGCATCACCGATTGAGGCCGGCATGTTGGAGAAGACGCCGCTGTTGTTTGATGAGCTGCGAGTGTATCTGACTCAAGGCGTGAATTTGCGATGCAAGTTTGGCGGCCTGGTGAATGGCATGGCAATGTATTAATTCAGAGTGGACAGATGAAGTGTCACGATCAACATGCAGAAGGTCAATTTGTGGGGTCGTAGGAGTTTTGGGTATGCCTGGTGAGCACTGGGGTAGTTCCGAGCCTAAGCGTTAGGGTAGGATCCTTGTTTGAGCAGGCGACACTCACCAGTTGCTCATCATCTGAACCTAGTAGGCAAACACTAACAGCATCCTCTTCCCCGTCCACAGATGACGGCACAACCTCATCTCTCTTGACTTCCAGTATATCCTCCCCTGAGTCCAATTTGCTGTCTTGGTTGCAGTTGATCTGCACACACCCGAGTGAGTCCGAGTTGACGCGCTCTCCTGAGATCCGAGTGGTGTGATTGTGCTGGGTAGATGAATGAGGAACAGGGTGTAGGAGTTGATATAGGTCGAAATGGAGGTCATCACTGCAAAAGAGTTCGATCTCGTTTTGTTGGGCAGTGAGTGTTTGTGTGTTGGGCCAAGTGGGGTCACGTTTGAACGAAGGAGGTGGAGGAAAATGTTTGGGCCATTTGAGTCCGAGGTAGTAGCGAGGCGGTGTGGTATCGCTTTCTATTTGTCGTTGACCGGGAACATGGTTGCTGTTGTTGTCCTCATCCTTGATCATGCTTGTTTGTGAATAACCGGCATATGGTTCAAGCTTTGTTGAAAATGCAATAGTTAGTATTCTCACGGTCAAACCTAAGTTACATTGAAATACGTATGGTGATCTTTGAACGGATTGACGAAGAACATGGAGCATTGGTCAAGAACATTTGAACTCGTCCACTCACAGCACACCGGCCCTCCCCACTTAGGATACAAATGTATGCTTCGCTCGATTGCTGATACCAGGACCACAGAAGCCTCGTTTGCGATGCGGCTGATCTTGTACATGGGGTAGTTTGCATCCGGGAGCCTGGTAAGTGGTGAATACCACTTGATGTAGGCAAGGTGCTTGACTTCCTCAGCAGTTCTGAATGCTCTCTGGGCAGAGTATATCTTGGGAGTTGCGAAGATGAGTTGGACTCTACCAACACGAAGACCTAATAGGATAGAATCAGATATGTGTAGATCAGAGGGCCCATCATTCAAACCTGTTATTGAGGATGACCCGGCTGTCTTGTCAGCAACTCTGACAAGTGCAGTATTGAATCATTGTGGAATCACAACATCGCTCTTTTTTGGAAGTTGACAGCCGGGGTACGCATGAATGGCATTGTAGGTGTCTTCGTTATCGGAGAGTTTGAATTTGAGCTTGTGAAAGACAGGAAGGGAGTCAAATGGTATGATGTGATTGCTTGCTTGTTCAGTAACTTCTCGCTGGGATAGCAATGGGTGTTTTTTGTGGATAAGGTATCGAGCCAAAGCAGAGCGAAAGAATGTAGCCCCATATCCAGATGGCGGAGATATAAGTTCGATGGGGACTGCCTTGCGTGTGGGATGCTTCATCAGATGATGGGAGAGCGCGAGGCTTCTGTCCGGAGGCTCCCAATAGCCTGGTGATGGATGTGCAGTAGCCACTGCTGTCAACCTCCATTCAATGAATTTCTCATGGAAGAGAACTTTTTCACGCCGTTCCAGCCATGCTGTCATCTGTGGGAACTCGTCCTTGTGGTTTGTGGCCGCATATGTGTCTTTTGCAAAGTCAATGTGTAAGTGTTCAGTGGACTCCATGCTATAGTTATTGGTCGTCCCATACAATTTGATCGCACGTGCATAGTGAACGAGTGAGTGCAGCTTTAGTATGTTAAAATTTTCTCAAGCTCCAAGCACTTTGAAGATGTCTTTAGTCCGATGGAAGGCCTCAAGTGAAGCCTCGAGCAGTCGCAGAGAAGTATGCGGGTGTACGGGGTACTGGGCAAGATAGAAGAAATCAAGCAATGCCCTTGTCACAGAGATGAGGCGAGATCTTGCTGTTGCGTACTGATTATGAAGGGGAATGTCAGTCAGTAGACCAAGCAAGAAACTAGTTATTTGCTTGTGCTCAGTTCCGCTTACATGCGAAAGCGAGGTGATCCCTTTATGGAATATTGGATACTATGGTTCGGTGGCAGACGTTTGAGACGCTCGTCAATTTCCTCAGGATGGCAGATTGATGTTATCCAGGAGATAAGATGTTTCATGACGCCCTGGTGGAGTTGGTGCAGAATGTCTGGGGTGATAGCAGCGAAGATATTGACAAATGGTAAGTCCTCCCAGAATGGATCACAAAGTGGTTTGAGGTGTTGTGACTTGCAGATCCTCGTGTAATTGTGCTGGTTACTGTGCTCAAGAGCAGCGAAGGCCATGTCCATGGTCCGGTACAGGTGGGTACATGGATACTCCCCCAGCTCGTTGTTTGGACATTCACAGACTGGGCAGTCACCGTTAAACGCGCCTGTAACCAAGCACTGCTTGGGATAATCCCCTACATATACAGCGAAGATAGGGTGGCATACGCGCGACATTGTCTCCACTCATCATACAAACTCCTTCTATCCCCGCCTCCTTGAGTGGGGAGAGAATATACTTCATACTGGCATGGAACATGTTTGCGAGTGCACGACGTCAGGATGATTTATTCTGAATGTGCTTCAATTTTGATGTAGGCAGATATGCCAGGAGGATCTGGCCACGGCGAGATGGTTTACAGTGAATGGACTTGGGAAGGTTCCCGATTGTTAAGTATACCGGGTAGGCGGTCTTGTCTTGGAATAAGGTCAGTTCTTCTTATCAATGATCTTGTTTAACTCATCAGTTGTCTTGTAGCTCAAGCCTAATACACTGCAAACCTAGGAGTACTTGATAGACATCTCGCGTAGGGACGAAATAAACATTACTCACATTCTCAATACCCAGTAGGTCAGAGAAGGCAGTCAACCCAGAGCCCCGCAGCTTTGCCCACCGAGCTATTTCCCAATCGACCTTCAATGTGAATGGGGCCCAAGGATTCTGGGCCGCTGCTCCAAACACATTGTCCTGATATGTGGTGTACTTTGAATTCTCATTGCAGCCTGCCAAAGGTTCCCCTGTGCGTCCTCCGAAGGTCTCAATATGGTGTGGTGGCGAACTCAGCTGCGGGCAAGCTGAATTTGTGTTGATAGGTTCATCACTTGGATGTTTGTCTGCATTGGCGGCCTGCGACCAAGAGGGTACAAAGCTTGGGTGTGTGCTATCTTCCAGCAGAATATCCAGCCCCACCTCATCCTCCCACTCATAATCATATACATCCAGATCTTCATCCTGGCCGCAAAATTCATTGGTGCTGCTACAGAACGATGGACCATCTGGTGCCCTCATTGGAAAGTCTTCGTCATCGTAATTGTCGCCAAAGAAGTCACCTTCAAATTGGCTCCTGGCTTTGTCCCTCTTTGGAGACAGACCTCATGCTGGGTTGCACAGACCTCGTGTTGGGTTGCACCAACCTTCTCCCTTCACTGATTGATGAAAATGTAAGACCTCGTCACGATACTTCTGGCACTTGGGTCATGTGGTTTTCTGAAGATGCTGGGTGAGGTGACTTGATTCGCTCCAAGTGTGGCCGCAGCCTCTGCAAACAGTGTCCAAGGTCGTCAACGAATAGTATAGGGCAATGTGAGTTTGAGTTGAACTGTACTCGACTAGATACTCATGGCCCTTGGATCTCGGTGTTCCAGGTCTAGCTTAGGCCAGGACAGCGACAAGGCCCGACCAACTTCCACCAAGATGGAGCCCAGAACAAATGACTGGTTGGGTGAAAAAATGTGCATACTTTTCCCTAGTATATAACCGTCCCGCACTTCCGAAACTCCCCCTCAACAATCACAAACTACCAACGAAATACTCCAAGTTTTGAGAAATGGCAAGAGGAAAACGAGGAACATCGACTAGAGGAAGGGCTCGAAACCCACCAAGGACATATGAACAACACACAACGTGCATTGATTAGTACTTTTACTGTTTGCACAATGAAATTACTTTGAAAGTACTAGGAGTAATTTTAATGTACTTTGTGGCAAGTTCTCAATAAAAGTATGAAACCTCGCATCTAGCGTACTTTGCAACAAAGAACACTGATAATAGGCAAGAGTTACTCAAATAGTACCATAAAAGTACCGTGATGGAGATTTAGGTAGTTTATGAAATTTCCTTGCTTTGTTTTTCAGTCTTTTTCTCCGAATTACCCGGTTGAGAGAATTATGTACCTTTTATTGTAGTATCTTTAAAATACCAAATAGTGTACAAACAAACACTTTCAAGGTAAATTTTCGGTACTTAAGACATTCAGTACGGAGAAAGTACAATTCAAAGCCCGATTCAGTACTTTGCATAATTCTTCCTTGAAAGTACTAAACCTCGATGGTATATAGAAGAATGGCTTCACATGTACAGGCTGGTAAGAAGTATCACGGCGCGTCAACATGATCTCATTCATAGAAAGGAATGCAGTGTAGTGGTTGTTCAAACGTTAACACGTTAACGTTCATGCATGCGCACATGGCTAGCACGTACATCGGCACTACCCAGTGTGCCACTATTGTTGAGCGAACTATGCTCCGGGCCGGTTTGTATCTCCGTCCGTCCGTGAGTAGACCGTCGTACATACACATACAGTGGTTAGGTTTGTACATAGGGACTACCCAGCGTGCCACTATTGTGGAGCGAGCCATGCTCCAAGCCGGCTTGTCTGTCCATCCGTCCGTGAGTAGACCGTCGTACATACACATACAGTGGTTAGGTTGGTCATGCCTAGCACGTACATAGGGACTACCCAGTGTGCCACTATTGTGGAGCGAGCCATGCTCCAAGCCGGCTTGTCTGTCCATCCGTGGGTAGACCGTCATGCACATGCCATTCAGCGGGACTACCCAGGGCCAGTACTAGTGTCCACTGTCGAGCGAGCTCTGGTGTTCCATGCTCCGAGCTGACCTGTATGTCCGTCCGTCAGTGAGTAGACCATCATGCACATACCATTCAACAATGCGCACACATACAATGGTTACAAGCCGGTTTGTATGTCCATCCGTCCGTGGATAGACCAACATGCACGATCCCGATGCGCGTACATACAGTGGTTTGGGGACAGCTCCTGGTTCGTCACTTAGCACGTACAATTCAGCACATACATTAATGTTCCATGCTCCAAGCCGGCTTGTATGTCTGTCCGTTGGCCACGTACATTGTCGAGCTCAGGCGTGGGTAGACTACGGACATGCTCATACAGTCCACAATGTACATACAGTGGTTACGTTGGTCCATGACATCGGGACTACCCAGTGCCAGTGCCGAGCGGCTCAGGATCCGAAGTCCAGCAGTCGTTCGTCACAAAGAGGACAAAGGAAACCACGTACATCAGGATGCCGAGTGAGCCCTGGCATTCCACGCTGGCTTGGTTGTCCAGTCCATCCGTCCGCCTGTGGATGGACCGTCACGGTCATGCACATACCATTCAACAATGCACATACATAAAGTGGTTCTGAGTCAGGCCTATGATACATTTAGAATGTACAACCCAGCACGTACACCAACCCACTCTCACACGTGTCATGGTCACGAAACGGGCTTCACCAGAAGTAGTCTTGCTAATGCTTTGACTGATACATGTATCTGAGGTATGAGAGGTACAACATTTTTTGCCTAATGTCCAGACTCTAGTCCTTGAATGAACGCTACAAAGTACGGTTTACAACGGTTGGAAGATGGAAGCAAATTCTAATGTCGGTTGGAAGAAGCTTTGCGCTTTTTGGTAAGAGGTGGAGTATTCTCGTCATGATGGGCAATGCTATATCGTCGATGCGACTTTCTAGGATAGCGTGCAAGATGGGAGGCATTATTGAGTGGCAGCAGCCGATTAGCCTTGGATGGGCGCGAAGACGTAGTAGCTGTGTGCGAAGTAGCTGTGTGCGAAGATAGTGGCTGGACGTGAAGACGTAGTGGCTGGACGTGAAGACGTAGTGGCTGGACGTGAAGACGTAGTGGCTGGGCGCGAAGAAGTAGCTGGGCGCGAAGACCGTGCTGGTGATGTGGTTTGGCGTGGCCTAGAGCGATGGGACTGAGGAGCTTGCTTGCTTTCCACAGCTGAATCTGTGCTGTCCTGGTCGTCAGACGCTTCTTCGTCAGATGCTTCTTCGTCCGATCCTTCCTCGTCCGATCCTTCCTCATCCAATCCTTCCTCGTCCAATCCTTCCTCGTCCGATCCTTCCTCATCTGATCCTTCCTCATCTGATCCTTCCTCATCATCCGACCCTTCATCATATTCATCATCTGGTGTGTCAGACCCTCCGTCAACTACAGAACCATCGCTAGCAATAAACGACTCTGGAGCCTTGGCCTTTGGACGCGCATCCAGAATCTTCTGCATCAGTGCCTTCATTTCTTCGGAATGGCCGAGTAGATGAGTCACTCCCTTCGAGGCACCACGCCCCCTCATCAACAAAGCGTCCATTTCCTCGTCCGTCTCAGCAGGTGGTTGGTAGGCACCAAGAAATTCTTGATCCACGTCCGTCTCAGCACGTCGTGGAGGGCCATCGCGAACCTGCCACAACCGGGTCTCGGTGATGTAAAGTTGCTTTGCGCGAAGATGAGGGGAGCCAGGATGGGGAGGCGCGCTTACAAATACAGGGATAAGGCCCCTACGCATGACTGAATGAGAGTAAAGCGGTAGTTAGGGTGTCGCGTAGAAATAAGCTAAACAAATAAGGCCACTTACGATTGACGTCCGCTGGCTGGAGCTTGCGAAAAATGACCCCAAGAGATAGATCACTTGGGAGGGAGCGTACCCAGGGTGTGCATATCTTGACAGGAAGACCGTTGAGTCCGCGGTACCCAGTTTTCAATGTTTCCTGACCAGGAAACGGGACCTCGTCCAGGATATTTACCATTTGATAACCCTGTTGAAAGAGAGTATAGCGCATGGTATGCCAAGGAAATTGAGTTGCAGGGAACACAAGTCCCGCCGATGCTGCTCGATCCGCCAACTGTGTTTTCATTAGTTCCCGTTTGACAGTGAGGCTGGCTCGAAGGGCTTGATTGAGTTCCAACTTGTTAGCCCACCAGCAACCACTTGAAGGCGTTTCGGCCTCAAATGTGACCGCCGCCGTCGCTTCACCAACTTTATGGGAGGGCGATGAATTTGCTACTGGAGCAGCGTAAGTGCTGACCCAGTCTGAGTACAACTTCTGAGGATCTAAGCCGGAGGATGATTGAAGACTTGCGAGGACTCGGTTCAGTATAGATACTGCAGCGTTTGATGACTCCGAAGGCGGCGTTTGGGTGGACAAGAGATCGGAGATTGTGGAATCAAGAAACTTGGGCTTGGTTTGGGGTTCACCGGAATGAGTAGATGGTTTTGCGGGTTCATCGGGAGGCTCTTGAGAAGGAGACCTAGATGATCGATGGTTATGATCGGGAAGGGAGTTTGTAATATCATTTTCAACGTCGTGAGGATCTCCGAGTACCTCGGGTGCAGGAATCGGGTACATTGACGAAGATCCAATGTTGTTCAAACCTAGTGACATGACGGGGTCCATGTCAGGAGATACGAGTGCTTGATGATTGGTTAGCGCTGATAAATCATGTTACCACTAGTAACTCACAATCGTCCAAGGTGCTATTCTCCTCGACATCTTGGCTACGAGGCACAGATACTAGTTTAGACCTACTACCAGAAGCTGTAGGACGAGCGTGGTGTCCTGATCGGCCATATTTAGTCTTCTTGGACTTGAAAGACTTGCGTAGGCCACTCGTCGCTTCTCGCACTAGGCAGCTCAGATGTTGATCAACTTTGGTTTTCTTGCGCTGTTGTGTCGAGCCCTGATTGCTTTCAAGTCCTTCGCTCTGGTCGGAGGGTTGTTTATCGGCCTTGCTCTTCCTCTGCTGCTGATTGGAGGTATGATCGTGGTCGAGTTCATCGGTGTGGTCAGGGCGTTGTTGCTTCCTCCATTTCCTCTTCTTGTACGGCGGTTTCGAGGCAAGATCGGGTTCAGGCTCGGGTTCATCATCGTTGTGCTCGGAGGGTCGTTTCTTAGCTTTGCTCTTCTTGTGCTGCCGTCTCGGGATATGATCGCCTTCAAATTGGTAGTTATCTTTGAGATTGGATCGTCGTTTGGTCTTCTTGGGACGCAGTTTTGAAGTTTGGTCACTCTCGAGTTCGTCGAGTTGGCGGTCGGAACTGGGGAATGATGAAGTCGGGGCTTGTAATACTGCGATCTCAGGTAGAGTTTGGGAGGAAGCAGGGGCGTCATCATCAAACGACATGTTGACAGGGACCAAGAGGCGAGCCAAGTTGCATTCGGAGTTTCAAAATATATATAGTCGCGAAGTACCTGCCCTGAACAGACCCTAATTAGCAGCGGGGTTGTGTAACTACTTAGGTACTTACAAAATTCCACCTCGGATCAATAGTTGAGGAAGATCGAGCTTTAATTTCTTATTCGCAATAAGCAACTTTCTGCGTATGCTAAGTATGCCACAGTCGTATTTTGGTCCCATCTAATTTAATAGTATAACATGTCGGTGAAGCCGGCAGAATGCACCGTCACCTTCGATATAACCAAAGTCTGAATCATATCTTACTTTCCTTCCATGCTACTGAAAGCACAGCTATACATTTTCTAAGCCGGCTACGGTACGTGCTGATGGCATCGTCATCCCAGTCAACTCGCCGTTGAGCTAGGGGATATTCAGCATATTGTAAACAAGACTGAGGATCATGCGTCAGAAGAGGGGAATTTGGGTTGTACGAAATGGACATTCACCATGATTAGTGCATATGTGCCTTCTGGATTTCGCATAAAAGTTTTGGCGAGATGCAAGACGTAAATACCACAATCGTAGCTATTGGGCTGGATGGGGACCTAGGCATCGACTGTTTAATGCACGTCAAACGGTCGATTACATGGAGGATGTGACGCACTGGGACATGGTGGCATTCTATACCATGTACCGTGTCTGCATACTTGACGTCCTTCAGAAGATTTGTCATAAATGCGGCGAGTACAGAGAAAACATCTTGATGTGTCCTTCCCAACGAGTCCAGTATCAGTACAGAAGTCCTGGATGAAGGGATATCATTTTCCGCAACATACTCATAATGTCAAGAGTACGCACCTTTCAGGGGACCCAGTTATGTGGCTCTCAGTCATGCAGCTTGGTTTATAGATGATGGCGAGGTACCAGTGATTTCTACGGAGTGGAGTAAGACGAAGCTAACACTGGTAGCCGACAATAGGACTAACTCCTGCCAGACGGGGATGACAATGTATGCCTTGCTGAATAGGTCCTTACTGACCCAGCGCCGGACGCCCTGGTAGCCATCTTACTATATTAGGCTTACATTGGGATTAACTGCAGCGAGCGGTACTCACGGGCCGAGAGAATGGTGAAGAAGAAAGAGTTGAAGATGTAGAAATCATCGACAGCGTCAGGACGCTGCTTGACTAACCTTTCGAAAAGAAATCTAGGCGATCTAAGCTAGGCATCACAGACAGTATGAAATCCACGAGATACCTCATACCAAAATCAATGATAGTGTCGTTCAACCATTTTTTAGGTTCTAACGTTTGTACATCAGAATTGCGCAGTGTAATGGCTGGAACTCTATTTGTGGGAAAGACGAGGATGCTTGTCCATGTCAAAATTTGGCCGCGCTGATAACGACAACATACTTACACGGCGTTGGAGGGGTTTTCAGGTTCCAGAACTTCGTCTGCCGAAAGTACTTGGACTCTGTTGAAGACTAAAGATGCTGGCATGCGAAGGAGGTTTCGTGTGTTGTCACGACGGGATGTCAAAGTACCGGCACGCCCTTGGCCACTAGGCCCAGCCATAGACGATGACGGGCAGACCACTATCCTCGACGTCCGAGGTGAACGAGCATTCGGTATGTTCGATATATACTGATCTCAATCAACTAAGACTGCCACTTTTTGAAAGTATTCGTACGCACCTCTCTTTCAATCCGGTCCTTGATCCGGTCCCTAATGGCTCCTTGGTGGGGTCGTCCACAGAACGGGGCTAACTAGTAGAGTTATTGCGCATGAACACACAAAGGTTCACAAAATTTACTTGTAAAGCTTGAGATGCATGGACGTTACGTTGCATCCGAGAAAGTGTTTCCACGGGCACAATGGGGTGAGGAAATGGCAATGGCTACAAGGACTCTGTAAGTAAGCGAGTTCATTTCTTTGTCAAGTGATTGGACTGACTAATAACCATAGCACGTATCCAGGAATACCTGGAACATTTGAAGTTCGCAGCGCGGTTCTGTATCGGATTGAGTCTTCATAATCGGCTACTGCATGCGGATGGCCTTGACGGAAAACTGTCGGAACCACCTAGAAGGGTATTTGTCTTTGAATGAGATTGTTCGAGTGAAAAGGGATACTAGTAGCACCTGTAGGGGACTGTTCATTCCGTGCTTCAGAAGTTATGAGGGTTTGACTTACGAGGTGAGCGTCATGTTCCTTCTGCTTTTATCGAAGTCACGGGAACAAAGGGCACAAAGGGTATATATTTGGTTTTGTCATAGTCGCTATGCGAGAAATCTATTCATTAAGTTTGCCTTTCTTTCTAGTACTTCTGCGGGAGGAGGAGCTAGATGAACTCGACGAGACGATAGACAAATCATCCCTCTTCCGTTTTAGCTTCGAGTAGCGTCTATAAGTTTCAGGGCTGATCCAGGAAGGTTCTCCCGATTCCCGGAACCACAACCTCAGCCGCTGGGAGTTTCTTCTGCATTCGTCGCCAACTTCAATTGGCATCCATCCTGGAGCATCGTGACCTGCCAAGATACACCACATCCACACCTGCCGAAAGGACGCAGCAGTGTGAACGAATAAATCTTGCAAGTTTGGCTGCCTTTGCGAAGAAAAATGAGCGGGAGGGGAATCCAGTAACTGCTCGCCCTTGGACACAAACCAGACCACAGGTAATGAGCATCCGCTGGTTGGGGTCCTTGCCCGACGGTTGATGAAAAGATTCTACAACATAGTCATGAGAGAAGAGATGATGCAGAGAATATCTTATACCTGCTCTGTGTCCCGGGGAGAAGTAGAATAGGGAACCTGGCCCGTTGGTAGCGGCAAGACATTACCATTGCTATCGTAATACGCTTAACGCTTCTGCCTTTTGGCCTAGTAGCAACGACTTACTCAAGAGGTCTGTTTTTGAAATCAGGTAATGTATCGACAACGTGTTGTGGTCTGAACATAGTAAATGTGTACACTGTTCGTCTTACAAATCGAGTACGACTTACCTTGGAATGACCGGAAGGTTTGAAAAGCTTGGAGTGGCATTGCGGCGAGCAACTGAATCAAGCATATATTGTCTTTGGACGAAGGTCGAAGTTGAGATGATTTGCCTTGCAAACTGAGAAAGGCATACCTTGGAAGGTTTGAAGGACCTGGAGTAGCATTGCGACGAGGCACCACATTGGTTGTGTGCGGTCTAATGACGTAGGACAGAGTCGATATGATTTGTCTCGCAAACGAGGAAAACCATACCTTGGAAGGCTTGAAGGACCTGGAGTAGCATTGCGGCGAGCCACTACATCGATTGCATGTTGCCTAAGGATGAAGTGCGTCAGAAGTGCGTCAATCCACGATTTGCCTGGGAAATTAAGTCGAGGCATACCTCGTCGTGTTGACCGGAGGGGTTGGAGGACGCGGAGTGGCATTGCGGCGGGCAAGTTGATCCACCAGGCGAGCTTCAGGAATCCCTTGCAGCTCTTCTCCCATGCAGACAGCAAGTACAATAGGACCAGTGGTCGGTGGGCGAGCGATAGAGAAGCGAAAACGTCGTTTAGCAACGATGGGAGGCATGTTTGATAGAACTGCTCAACCTCTGCAGCTCATGCAACCCTTTTAAACGAGTTCACAAGTGGCTCAGCCACTTAGCATGAAAGGCACAAAGAGGCCCACCACCACCTTTGTTCTTATCGTTACAATCCCTTTGCTCACTCAATACCACCAAGTTATATGACGGCTCCAGCTCTAGCGAACGGTCCATCGTGTGATCGGGAGAAACACAAAGAAGAAAGTGAGGTGCGTACATGGAATAGTTCGAGCCGTACGTGCTCTGTAACGAATGGATCACAGGTCGACGAAAAATGGGAAAAGGCCAAAGAGCGATTACTGAAAGGTCTGCAGTGTGAGCTGTGTCAAGGAACGTTTAGCAAGCCCTACTCGTGAGTCTGTATCATTGTAGTGGAAAGACCAATGATCAACGCGATTTATGTCCAAGCTTGGAGTGTGGACATGTGTACTGTGAAACGTGTTTGATCAGTCGATTTCATACGGTCGTCAGCGAACGCCTGGAGAATGATTTGAATTTCCTTTACGTTCACTACGCGAAGGATTCGACAGGCATGATCGGCAAACTCAACAACACCAGTGGAGATTACAATTGGTTGAAGGCCCACCTTCTCTACGAGGATGCAGAGATACTGTTCAAGCAACATTGTCCAAATTGCCGCTTAACTATAACCTCACTTCCAGTGGCGGCATGGCAGCTGGAAGCTATTGCTCAACACTCAGGGCTGGCAATGGTGACGGGGGAGCCTAACAATCGGGTAGAGTCTTTGACCAAGCTCCATAACTTTTTTGATTTTTAAATAGATCGAATGTAGTATTATGATTTCATCCTCATTCAATGGTATGAGGTTACTTTTAAACCTGCAATGACGGGTCATCAGGATGTAGAGGTCGCATATCCCGCGTCTGCACTTTCTTGAACCTTTTCGCGACACTACACAAGATCATGAAAAGAGTCAGATTTTATAATTTGGGCTATACTGTAAAACACGTACAACTTGACTCTCTTAGAGAAGGACAAATCCATTCGTGGAGCCATACGAAGTTTCTTGCGTTCGAAGTCGTCTAGGCTAGCTAAGTAGCCAGGGTCATAGAAGTTGATCGGAAGTCCTTTAGGAGGTGTTTTATTGCGCTGCTCCTGACGACGCGAGGGCACTCGTACGCGAGGAAACCTCCCAGGTCCTGGACGATCATCATCGGTGAAACGAAGAGACATATGAAGGTAGTCAAATGTCCTAAACCATTGAGTTACTTCGCTGTCCTGAGACCGCCATGGGAGATGCGTAATTGCGAATTGTTCTTCATGCCTATTCGAAGCATGGTCCGTTTCATCGCCGCTAACACCGTACCAGGGCATGATCTTCCACACAGGTTCAAATCTTTGCATCGACGAGTCTCCCGCAGCAAGGAGTCGACATACGTTGGCACGTCGATGACGCAACTAGAATGCAAAGATTGAGTAGAGCGTGGAAGAAACAACAGAACAAATGTACACTTCGACGCCTACGTTCGACGGCTTTGGCAACCATGGCATCACGCGAGACTAATTCCTCCTCGGAGTCGATAGAGGATAAACGTTCCTGTTTTGTGTAGAGATGCTTGAGGTGAATAAGGTGAGTCTTGAAGCAGGACTCCACGAGGTTCAGATCCTTGCACTGAAATTCGTCTAACTCAACGAATCGTTGAGCGAAGAGTTCCCTCGCCCGCCTGTTCCAAGGAGTGGACAAACCCTCGCTAGCGAGATCAAGTAAGAAGGGGTCGAGGGTTGGTTGCGAGGCACCTTGTGGGTTTTGAGCAAATCCGGCGAGTGCTTTAGGCGTGGGTACGCGTATTAAACCACGTTGATGTTCACCGCATCCTTTAAGCCCCAACAGTTGTTGATCACAAAAATCTCTGACGTCTGCCTGTACCGAGGGAGTTAGGACTGAGAAAGAGCGCAACTGAGAAACGGATACGAACCATCAAGGTGGTGTGTTCCCGACTTTGGTGTTTATGGCTGTAATCAGGTGGCGGGTTTGCTTCGAACAGGTCAAAGCATGGGCAATCGCGGCGATGCTATGGTTCAGTCAGCGATGAAGATGAACATCAGGGAAGGGGGGCATATACTTCTCTGGGACAGCAACAGTAGACACGACTGTGGTCGTAGCCAGCTTCGGCTTTGCGTCCGCACTATGTGTGATGAGTAATTAGCGGGGGGACTATATGCGAGCGCCTCAAACTGACCTTAGGACCAAAACATGGATCATATTGCTGTCAAGATGGGGAAAGTCAGACGTATAAGCAAGTGCAATGCAGGAATTTAAGCATACGGCATGTCGCGAGTTTGTGTTTTCGGGTTTGGTTTCCTCTTCGGGTTCGACATCGTCCCTATCGTCTTCAGCTTCATCGTTCTCGTCATCAGCATCAGAGGCGACGTCGTTAACATCCGATAGAGTATCTTCCGAGGCAAAGAAGGATGTTTCATTGCTTGCCCAGGGATTGGGCGGTGGCTTTCTGGTTCCTTTATCCCCAAGCGGACAATCTTGAGGAGCAGCTCTTGATCTGTGGGGTCGAGTAGAAACATCCGGTGGAAGACCCTTAACAGGTTGTTGTTCCTTTGCACATCCCCACTCATCGGTACTCCGAAGGTCATTGGGGGGTTCACACTCAGGCATATCAATGTCGGAATCTACAGCGGAGCACTTGCTAGTGGTGGGCAAATTTCTGGCAGTGTTGCCAACGGGTGCTGGTGCACATCCCCAGTCATCAAGTGAGGTCTCCTGGCACATGTCGATGTCTGGAGGCATGTCCACAGCGTTGACAGCTCCCACGGGTGCTTGTGCGCACCCCCAATCATCGAGCGAGGTCTCCTGGCGCATGTCGATGTCTGGAGGCACGTCCACAACGTTAACAGCATTTCCCATGGGTGCTGGTGCGCACCCCCAATCGTCGAGCAAGGTCTCCTGGCGCATGTTGACGTCACGGGGCAAGTTCACAGCGGGAATTCCAGCGTTGGCGGCGTTGCCTATGGGTGCTGTTGCACACCCCCAGTCATCAAGCGAGGTCTCCTGGCGCATGTCGATGTCCGGAACCGGGTCCACAGTGGGGACGGCGTTGCCCATGGTTGCTGGTGTGGGTCCCCGGTCATCGAGCGAGGTCTCCTGGCGCATGTTGACGTCACGGGGCAAGTTCACAGCGGGAATTCCAGCATTGGCGGCGTTGCCTATGGGTGCTGTTGCACACCCCCAGTCATCAAGCGAGGTCTCCTGGCGCATGTCAATGACCGGAGGCATGTCCACAGCGGGAAATCCAGTATTGACATCATTGCCCACGGGTGCTGGTGTGAGTCCCCGGTCATCAGGTAGAATGTCCTGGAGCATAACGACATCGGGGATCCCAACGTTGACAGGGGCTTCATCGCTGACGGTATCGTCAGTGGGTGCTGGCGTAAGTCCCCAGTCATCGAGTGAAGTGTCCGGAGGCATGTTGACGTCGGTGATCCTCTCGTCAATAATCGAAGCCTTCTTGCTAGCGGAAGCAAGATCACTGGCAGCGTTGTCAGTGGGTGTTGGCAAACAACCCCAGTCATGGAATGAAGTATCCTGGAGCATGTCAACATCAGGGAACACAGGTTCCATAATTGAGATCTTGCCAGTGTGAGCGGCGACGGTATCAGTGGGTGCAGTATTCTGGGACATGTCGACTCCGGGGATGGAAAGATTGACAATCGAAACCTCAGGAGTGATAGTCGCAATAGGTGCTGGTGTACATCCCCAGTCATCGAGGTCATCGAAATCAGTATCCAGGGGCGCGTCGACTTCAGCAATCCCCTCATTGACGATGGCACCTTCGCGAGCAGCGCATCCCCAGTTGTCATCGAGGTCATCGATGGAAATATCCTGCGGAATGGTAGCTATGACGGTGTCAGCGGGTGCTGTGTCCTGGGGCATGTCTGGGATCACAAGGTTGACAATCGAAACCTCAGGAGTGGCAGTCGCAATTACTGGCGCGTCGACTTCAACAATCTCCTCATTGACGATGGCACCTTCGCGAGCAGCAGTAGCAACGTGTGCTGATGCACATCCCCAGTCATCATCGAGGTCATCAACAGAAGTATTCTGCGGAATGTTGACGTCGGGGAACACAGGTTCCACAATCAAAATCTCGGTGTCAACGGGTGCTGTGTCCTGGGACATGTCTGGGATCACTAGGTCGACAATCGAAACCTCAGGAGTGGCAGTCACAATTGTTGGCGCGTCGACTTCAGCGATCTCCTCATTGACGATGGCACCTTCGCAAGCAGCAGTAGCAACGTGTGCTGATGCGCATCCCCGCTCGTCGTCATCGAGGTCATCGACGGAAGTATCCTGCGGAATGTTGACATTGGAGATCGCAGGGTTGACGTTTGAATCCTCGTGAACAATAGCTAGATCACTAGGGACGATGGCAGTGGATGCTGGTGTACGATCCAGGTCACGGAGTGAGGTGTCCTGGGGTGTGCTGGCTTCCTTGTTGACAATTGAAGCCTTACAAGTGGTCGCTAATTCGCTGGTGTCGATGTTAGTGAGTGCTGGTGTACGGAGTGAAGTGTCCTGGGGTGCATTTACTTCCTCGTTGACAATCAAAGCCTCGCGAGTGGTAGCTAGATCGCTGGGGACAATATCAGTGGGTGCTGTGTCCTGGCGCATGTTGATGTCGGGCATCTCAGGGTTGGTAGTTGAAGCCTCGCGCACGGTAGTGACGCACTTGTCGACTGAAGTATCCTTGGAAACGGGGATTCCAGCCATTGCTGGTGAAGCATGGCCAATAACCAGATCTCTGGCAGCGCGGGCATCCAGAACTCCAGAATTTATAGTGGAACCCTTGGGGGTACCTAAATCACTCGCAATGTTGTCAACAGGGATGGGAGTTTCCTGGAGCATGGAGATCCCGGGGGTCACAAGCGAATTATCGCGGGTGGCTGGATTTTTAGGGACATTCTCAACAGGGACTGAGGCACACTCCATGTTGTTGAACGAAACCTCCTGGAGCAAGTCACCATTGTGGACTCTTGCGTTCGACGCCCGGTGACGGGTTGCCAGATTGCTGATGATATCGCCAACTTGTGATGCTGCGAGCGCTCTGCCAACTGTGGTAACACCAGACATGTTCAAGCTTGGTTCATCGAGACCCTCGCTGGGTTCCTCGTCGTCGTGGGCCAGTGCTTCAGGCCTACTAGAAGCAGCTACAGTGACATCCTCGTCGTTGGCAGGTATCTCGACTTTGTAATCCAACGAAGCCGACCGACCACGCTCGCTGAGATCCTTGTAAACCTCGACGCTGCCAGGTACCGGTCCTCTGCGATCCATGGCTGAAAGTCTCGGTGAGTAAGTTGACTTGCGTAAGATAGGGAAGCTAACAGACCAAGCTTGCTGAGATCCTCACAGAACTCGACGCCCACAGAAACTAACAACGCGGATTCGCCGATATTCCCACTGACATCTATGCCTGGAATATTGGCTAGAGAAGATGGAACATCCATTCCGCTGGCTGGGGGGATGGTGGCCGAGTCACAACCGAGGGGAGGACTGTCAAACGCGGAAGCATTGTCCGTAGATGTAGATGGTTTCTCTTTCTGTGTATCACTAAAACGAAATCGAAACTGATAGGGGGATGTGGCAACACCATTATGACTAGAGGTCGTTGCATCATCTAGCAATATTGGTGATGGATCCACTTATAATAACTTCAGACTTACCAGCATCATAATCAGGAGGTTTTGGGGAATGCTGACGTCGCAGTCTCCTCTTGGGCTTCTGCGGCTCGTTGAGGGTTTGATCTCGGAGTTTACTTGTCGTCCTGGCTGGGGGTGGATCGGGCAACGTAGTCGCTAGGTGCATAGGAATCAGTTGTCGAACAAAAATGAACCATCAGGTCATACCGTCTGGAGCTTCGGCATGGTCTTCAATGTGCAGGTGTTTATTGGGAGGTTTTTTTGTATCTGTATCACCTCGTTCAACAGGGGAAGATGTACTTCGTTTACGTTTAGAGGCCCTCCGGTCTGTAGGAGGGCTGACTTCTGTGATTTCAGTGAGACAACTGAACAGTGGTCAGGATGGATTGGCCCCAGTGGACGTACCGTCTGAAGCCTGAAAGCTACCTTCGATACGTGGGCGTTTCTCGTCAGGTCTTACTGTGGGCTCTTTTGCATTCGGGGGTGACCGTGGTCTTCTGCGCTTGGAGCCGAGGTTGGGCGACCGCCTTGAGGACCTTGTTTGGGGAGCCATGAATATGGCAAGACGAAGTTGCTTAACGGAAGACGGAGAGGTGCTTGAGGCCACATGTTGGAAGTTCAGTGCACAAAGCACAAAGCAATCGGAGTGGACAAAGGGATAGTAGTTATGAAACGGACTTCGTGTATAGTACACTTCATCGAAGGGAACATGATTGACTATTGAACATTGAGCAGCGGAACGTTGACCAAATGACAGAAGGAAGTTGGAAGGAAGTTGGAAAAGGAGAGAATCTCAAGCATCGTGGTAACATATGTCTAAACAAGGATATCACCGCATGAGTGGGAGAACGTGGATACAGGACGACGTGGTACCAATGGGTACATTCCGAGTGCGTGCAAAGTGACAAACAACGGCAGCAAGTTGTTGCGAGCGTAGCGAGCAATCATGCTCTAAAGGGTTCAAGGCCCGTGCAAATAAGGCCAAACAAATTCTGCGTACTTTGGAGGCTCGGTCGTGTTTTTTTCTGGCTGAACTGGCCTCTTTTCCACAATTCTGAATCATGGGAAGTGTGGATTTTGCTTGCCGTAGTTGGTTTGCGCCAAGAAAGCAGCACTTTTGGTAGAGATTTGATGATTTAAGACCGTAATTTGGCGAAGCATCAACTCGAGACTTGCTGACATGGCGCGCGCCTAATTCTCTGAGCTTACGGTATGCGCACTGGGTGCATATCGATGAGAACTCATATGCGCCCTCCTAGCGCTCATAGATTCTACGCAAGTAATAGCTACCCATCTACCTAGTCTAGGAATATACACTGAATCCTTGCCCTAGCACTTCGAAGTGAGCTACCGCCGGCACGGCCCGCGGATCCATATTATAAGTACACACTCTCCAAGAGTATCGCGAAAAAGCATCCCTCCGGAGGGAAAGGTCCGATAAATATCTTGTTTAGCATCCTCTTCCGACAGAGGGAGGAATGAACGAACAAGGACGAAGGATTCGGTGACCGTTTTGCCATTATTCCTCATCCTAGTGTGGTTGAAGACGGATTGGATTTGACCAGGATGGCGCCTCCCGGCAAGCTTGAAAATGATGAGGCTATTGCCTTCAGTTTTCTTCGGGCCTGAGTAAGTCTCCCCCTGCCTTTGAATCATTGGGAGGTTGTGAACGGAATTGGGGATATGTGTGCTCCGCTTGTCCATTTTCTGTACGATAGCCTTAAGTAGGTCGAAATCGCGGTCTACCAGTGTTTTGCTATGAATCGGAACCGCTTGAGAAGTGGAGTGGTCGGCCACGAGGTTATCTTGCATGAAGGTCGACCGAATAGTGGAATCATGAGATGCAGAGAGCCGGTCAACGAGGGATTGAATTAGAGGAGGTAGATGTGACGAATGGAAGAGAGCGCGTAGCCTCTGCCCTTTTGTAAAAGTCAGAAAAAGGGTGTGCTCGAGGTCACCTTGTAGAAAGTCAGCCGATGAAGGAATGACAGTTAACAGATTCTTACCGAACTTGCAATTTGTCGTTATATTTTGAAGCATCCCATTGAACCGCTCAAAGGCAAAGCAACGCCAAGAATGGACAGGACCCCATCTTCGTAAGTGTTCACCGAAGTGGAGTGAAATATGCTGATATGGTGTGATCGTGGTTCCAAGATAGAGCTTCGAGGTGTCCATGTAGTCCCATTATAATACCTAGTGGATTATCCAGCGATAGGTATTATAATGTGCCACTATGTAAAACCCCCCATGGAGGTATTGTAATGCGGATAGATGGTTTGTAGGCGGTATTATAATGTGAATTATAATGTCGAAGCCAGTGACGCAATGCTTGATTGATTGATCGTGTGGCTATAATCATTGCATCTAATCTTATCGTACACTGGAGCACTCAATGATTCGGATCAGCACTCTCGCTTTCCCCGCTACGCCCCCCTCCTCCGCCCTTTGCTGTTCTTGACTGCTGGGCCAACAGTCAAGTAGCGAAGCAACAAGAAACAAGCATTGACACTCAGATATCAACAACTGTACCCCAGCTTTCGGAACTTCAACATTGTTCAACTCCCAGGATCCCGCCGCCCAGGCCATTTGTATTTGTAGCTCTCGTTGAGCTCACGGTTCATATTTCTCTTACTAATAAGCTTGATACCTATAGTCTAACCCTATGTGCAAGACCAACCAACTCGTTCTAAAGTTGGTTCCGACTACGGGGAATCCTGGGTTGTGCTTGAGGCACACTGTCGCACTACGCCTTGAGGTAGGCCGCGGCAGGCTCCTCATACACCTACTTAATGTCAGGTAGCACATGAATATATACATGTTTAGGCTACTTGTCCACTCAGTTAAAAGATTATGCAAAAAGATTGTACTGCGCCGAAAGTGAGTTGAAAGTGAGTTTATGGCATTATGCACCAATTGCACGAGTTGAATGCTTCGCCTTTTAGCGCATTAGTCTGACCTTTTCAATAGTGGCATCGAGAGCACGATCGTGCTGATTTTTTATATTAGCATGGTCATCCAATCGTTCTCTTATGATTCTAGCTCTCCGATCTGCATTATATTGTCCTTTACCCTAGATATGTTCACATCAGTTCGGTTTTCCCCCCAAGCGCACATTTGACGCCCGTCCAACTGGCTGCCGCTGGAGGATTCTGCTCTCAATCAACGTGGTCCATTCTCTTGAACCCTACTCCGAAATGTTTGATAAATCAATGGTTACACTCCATATGGCACTCATTGATCCTCCTCCAAAATCATGCAGAACAGAAAATATTGGGTATAGGTGCGTCTGGTTGGGTTGGATTGTACTTGATTGCGACCTTCAGCATATTCGGTAACTACTTGGTAATCATCACCCTCTCACAGGACGAACCCCGGCAAGCTGCAGCTGCCAGACCGTTTTAACTCTACCTGAATGTTTGTTTTCTTCGGAACACGGAACACGAGGCTGCTACCGAGAATTTACAGGCATCATGAAGACTTCCCAGGGTTGTCATTCAACGACAGAATACATTATAATGCCTACAGCAGGGAGGCGCACATTATAAGATGAACCAGGAGGCGGAATTATAATTCAGGTACGTACTAGTGACTCTGACATTGTAATGTGGACTGAGGGGGTTCAACAAGCAGACACATTTTAATGTGTCTCCCTGGAGAATCCACAAGGTATTATAATATAGCTACATGGACTATTGGAGCTTCAGAAGAGATTCTAGATACGAATGCATATGGTATTGATAGTTCTTGATGTCTTGCGCCGAGATTTGCCGTTGTGAAGCAATCTTCACAGCCTGTACTAGGTGCATGTAGTTGTTTAACACGTCGCCAGATCTTCCCTTATCTTGGCCCCAAAGGCGAACGAGCGTTATGGGCAAGTTCACCATACAGAGGGTCCGCCACTCATCGGCTTTGAGTCGACCTTGTTTCGCTTCCCCAGGCTGCTTTGGCCCGCGCCCAATCCAGGAAGGCAAGCAGAGCCGATCCATGTCTTCGCGGACTTCACCCAGGGTGTTTTTCCCTAGAACACACGTAGCTTGTTGAGGGACAGGGGGAACAGTACGTCGCACAATGAGTTTCTCTTTTTTGTTGATGATGGAGGCCTTCTTGCGCTAGCAGATGGATGGAATGAGTGAGAGGCGGTATGTTCTAGAAATGCGGGTCACGTACAGCATCCTGAATGCAATCAAGGAGCCCTCCTAGATTAGGTTTGGATTCTGTCGGTAAAGTAAGCTTCAGGCGGCATATTTCTCTTGCCAATGGAAGGGTGACATGGTCTCGGATGACCGGCTTTGCTCCATTCTCCCATACGTCGAGAGCTATTTCTGTCAACGAAAGCAGGCACTTGCTGTCATTTGCAAACCATCCACACTCGACACGCTGAAAATGGTGACATCTGCTGTGAGCTAAAGCTAAGCCCTAGACTTCGGAACTCACAAAGTCAAGGAGAAGCCGGAGGAGGACTTTAACCGTTAATCCGGTGGAGAACCGGAGACCATTTTCTTGGCAAAGCTGGCTGAGCGCATTCATATTGCATTGCTTGAGTTTGGTCTTTGATCCCGCATGAAGAAGGTGCCGAGCCACAGACATTTCTTCCATAGTAGGAGGTTTCTTCGGGGGGGCGTATGTGATTCCGTCGCCATCAGCCGCATTCGAACTCATACCCCAGACTTCGCGGCAGTGATGCTGGAAGAGCCTAAGATAAAAGCAATGCATGGAGTCGATCACAAGATGCTCCACCGGATTCCAATACGGTAGGCGGTGCAACTCAGACCAGCGCATGTGGTTTGCCATGAAGTGTGCGTCTTGATCCTTCTGAGTTGGAGCGTCACGCCATTTCTTTGCTAGGGCAATTTGCTCTGATGGGCATCGAGGTTCCCAGGAGTGGTAGTCCAGATCGTCTAACTCACGCAACCCCTGCTTGCATTCGTGACATGGGTCTCCGCTACTATGGGAGGAGAACCCACTCACTTGCCGCGCTGCTGGTAGATCGCAAACGACAGGTACTAACGCGCAGCGCACCAGGATTCCGCAAGGATGTAGCGGTGTTTTGTTGAGGAAAATACCGTGCTCCCAGAGATCAAGGAGATCATCCACCAAAGGTTGTAGAATATGGTTTATTTGACTAGTCGACGGGGATTCGGGTCCGGGAACAACTCCAACGAGAAAGATATTTTCAACGAGAAACCGGATGGGACGCGGGAGGTTCAGACAGGCCATGTACATTCCACAAACTTTCGTTATCTTACCCGCCTGCCGACTTCCTCCTGGATTGAGAGCGTCAAAGTTGAAACTGAAGATGAGGCGCCGTTCGTTGTGGAGCCTGACCATAAATCTGCCATCCCCAAGCGATTCTGGCCCCTTGAAATCCCGAAGCATGGTACCATCCCAAATGTCGGACATTGGGTCAGATGGCCCATCATCGCCGAGGGGGAACTGTTCCAGAGCCGCAGCGATGTCAGGGCGACAAAACATCCATCCCAGCCAATGTTTGAAATCATGATAGAGGAATGATCGATCTGGCTTGGTAGACTTCGCAGAGCGCAGCCGCTGACCACATGCTTCTGCATCGGGCGTTCCTCGAAATGTACACTTCTCCGGGAAGGCAAAGTCGTCCTCGCCATCATTGTCTTTATTTGGCTTGCCTTGACGTATCTTGTATATAGCGTAGCACGCAGGACATGTCGCATATGCCCTGAACGGAGGAGAGAGATAGGGCATGGCGCTGTCAACAGTCCTCGGGTCTATCAGCAGTTCTTTCGCCATCCTTTGATGGTCTGCGTCAACACCGAGCGACAGGATTGTTTTGATAGACTTCAGTACATCGCCAGTCTTCTTCAGGGAAAGACCGGACAAGAGTTGGAGCGAAGCAGTAAGCAAGAATGTGACTAGAAATATTGGATTGGTGCCCAGGAATTTGGTTCGCATCTCTAGGTAAGCTATTTCAAAATCAGGTCGCCATCGTACAGCTAAGAAGAGGATGTTGCATACTGTTGGTATCAAGTAACTCTTGCCGTGCGTCTGCCATGGCTTTCTCCCTTTGGAGAGTCCAAGCCCTTCTCTTCGCGGTATGTATCACCTCAGTGGCACACCTGAACTCCAGAAGAAGAGATCTCGACAGCATCCGAGACCGTGGGCTGGTGGATCTAAGGGGATGTTGGCTGACATATTGACTGGCTTTTGAAAGCCACTGCTCATGGGCCAGAACGCTTCTATTCTGAGGTGCAGAAGCGTGGTCTTCTTATCCTTCTTCCGTCGACGACGTTGTTCTCGATTGCTGGATGGGGAAGGCTTTGATTCAACTTCGGTCACGGAGTCATTCCCACTATCTTCTGAAGCGTTGGAATCTTCTGTACTAGGACTTTCTGAGCGAGGAGGTACTTCATATACGCCTTTGTTCAATAAGCCATCGGAGGCTTCGTCGTCATCAATATCAGAGGCGTCTGCGATTTCGGCAGAGGCATCCCAGTACGTGGCAAGGCCTGTTCGATTGAGGAGTCTCTGGTGTTTGTCGTAAGTCGAACGAGGTAGATATCGCCCGCTCACTGGGACAGCTTGTCCTGGAGGGATGGAGGTTTGATCAAAGCACTGCCAGCATTGGCAGAGATAAAATACTGGGGCTTTCTTCACAAATTGTCGGCCAATAATGAGGGTGGCACCGCCATCGGTTCGGCGCAGACGTGGTGGCATGGCTTATGGCTGGAGATGGCTGCGAGCACTACTGAGTACTGAGTACTGAGTACGCATCTAGATATATTACATAAGTAATGTATGTCCTAATAATTCATCGACATCCTCTGCCTAAAGATTCATCGACATCCTCTGCCTCAGCTCCTCGAGACGTTCGGGGTGAACAATGTCAAGTGTATCAACAGGAACGTAATATAACCAAGCTAAAAAAGTGATTGCAATTGCAGCAGCAACGCCAATGGCGAAGTTTGAAATGGATAAGGCATGATATTGAGGGACTGTTAAGACGTGAGGCCGGACAGAGAGATTGTTGGTGAGTCCAGACACTAGCAATAGATATGTTGAAGAAAGGACGGAGGTCAATTTGGACCAGCCGGGGATCACCATATGAACGTGTATAGATAGACGGTGAGGATTATTCATTGCGTGGGTGTGACCATCGAGCTCGAGCTCGCTGGTCTCGGCAATGTTAGGCAGAGTAAGGAGCCGTCTGGGAGGTGATGTGGATGGAGTTTTGTGAATGATTGAGACGGTGCTTGATGTGTCTCCTGGCAAAGCTTCACCAGTGTTAGATATGACTCCGATGATATCTGGGTGACACAGTGGAGCGCTGAAAAGGGGGCTAGAATTGAGTCTTGTTGATGGTTGGTCATAAGGAGGCGGGGAGGTGTTGGTGCTGTGAGACGGCGTTTCTCCTCGAGTTCTGTCTTTGACGTCTTGAGGGCGGCTGAATGAATGTAAATCTTTATGGGTCGTATTCCTTTGCCTGTCTGCATGCTCTATCCGTGCCGCATTAATGTCCTTTCCACATGTTTGCTCAGTCTACTAATATGATTGTCATTGGCAAGAACACATACTGCAGTTCGCTGAGCGATCTGAATATTCCGGTTGGAGGACTTGATTTGGACCTGGAGCTTCCGCACAGCATCCCATAGTTCGCTACTCTCCGCCATAAAAGGATAGACAAAAATTCAAGGATACGAGTGGCACTGGGACTCGAGTCAAAGCCGCATTAAAGCTAGGTCCCCTATGCTGGAACAGCTCCTCTTTGGGACGCCTTACAGAAAGCGATCATAAGTCAGTGCACGTGTGGGTGCCTATCCTCTAGCTGCACCAGGCTGACGACTGTTAATTTCACACATTTGATACTGACAATAATAGCAGTCAAGGCAAACAACACGGGACGATTCAAATCGTCCCAGGATTGTCCAATCGCCTCTGGAGTGGCTTCAACAATCCGCCAAAAGAGATGATTCACGACGATTCAATGTGTGAATCTGGTTGAATCGTCCCCCGAATCACCTCGAATCGCTGGCTTTGACTGCTACTAATACAATTTCTACACACATCAGCTCAGATTTTTATGTCTACGCATGTTTATTTTTCTTAAAAGTTTGAACGCCCTGCTACAGAACAAATCAAATACAGGCGACCGCAAGTAGTTTAACACAATTAAAGCCAACAATAACTAATCCGACCAGAACTGGACACCTTCATCATCTTCCAGTCCATGTTCACTGTTGTTCCTGTCAGAGTCGGGACGATGATACTGATCTTCACCATTGTATAAGGCAAGTCACCGGAGTAATAGTGATAATCGACGATTTTGGGGGGGTCCTTGGATACGTCAAGTACGAAAAAGCAAGGTTGTTGCTGATCAGCCTCGTGGTGGGAATTCATGCGTCTAGCCATAGATCGAAGCATTAAGGTGCTAAGATTATCGTCGATAGCTTTTGCCGCCAATTTGTCCAAGTAATGTTTCTCATCGCGGCCGAAGCTACGGACTGTAAGAGCAGGACTCGCATCGCCATTTTCTTCTTGTAGGCAGGAGATACGATGGCCAAGTAAGCGCCAGTCCGTTCGCTGACAGTCCTCTGAGCAATATTTCACCATGAAGCAGCCTGTACATAGTTTGAGGTCTGTCCGTCTGGACGAAACTAAACACTTTATAGTACATCAGCTCGATGGGCGAGTTGAAGATATGGTAGCACGTACTGCGTTACAGTGCTCTGACCGTCCGCAAACTGACGCCTTCCGGTCTGCATGCGTCTTGAGAGACATGAGCAACCAATTTTGACCAAAGCCCTCTTGGTCATCCCTACAAAGATTACGGAGTGCCCTCCGAGTAGCGATCAACACAGGAAGTCGACAAAGGTTGGGTACGAGGGTCTTGAAGATAAGTCGCTGGAGATGGCGAGGGACCGGCTGGTGACCATCCATCAGAGTGGAACACGTAGTGAATAAACCGTGCCGGATCAACATAATAAGGGATCGGAGCCTAGTTGTCGGCTGATTGAAGCCATCGGCCAAAAATCCAAGAAACGTATCCCGAAGGGGCTGAGGGCAGTGGGGTGAATGCTTGAGCAACCTCTTAAAGGCTTCAAAGACCAAATAAATAGCGTCTTCTTCGGCATAAACTGTATCGAAGAACTCCTTCGACCGGTCCATATATGTGAACACGAGACTCATAATCGCAGATGGGGGAGGGCCATGGGAGGTTAAGGAATGGCGCATATCTTGCATGGCAAGTTTCGCGATGCATGTCGGGGTGAAACCTGGGAATGACAAGAGGGAAAGGTCTGTTGCCGCAAAACGAGACACTTTGGCTTTGGTGTGAAGCGGGATGTCCACGAGGAATTTGTTCGAATGTTGATACAGCCACAGCGGCGCCAAGAGGGTATTCAAAGCGTTACAAGGGCAATCCACCCGATGCCTTTGCCGGAAGTGAAGTGAGCTACAGTGAACTAAGTCGAGAATGGAAACAACGGCCAAAAAGTGGCGACGTTGGCGAAGCTGGCTGGAGGCTGGTTCGCGACATCCGTCTACCAGGCGGTGCAGCAAAGAGGAAAGATCGGGCAGCTTCTGCTTGACCCACACACGTAGTAAGCGAGAGCCACGATGGTGCAGGCGATCGCAGATGAGTCGAACGATACACTCAGAAGTGAGGAGTGACTGCTTCAAGAGGTTCTGGAAGAGTGGCTCGATGGTGCGCCGGTCAATGTATGCAGCTAGCACCACTTTGACTCTTGGGCCTCGTCGTAATTGCCTCACAGGCGAGATAACATCCCAGGAAGTACTAGAGCGCTTCCTGTAAACGGTAGGGGCACATCGTTGAAGCAGGGTGTTGGGAATCCGGTGTAGTAGCGTTGCAGTGGTCATGATAAGAAGAGGAAGAGTAGGTCCAAAGCGAAGATGCGGTCAGAATTATAATCATAAAGAACAAAGAAAACATGAATAAAGCAAAGACTTAGGTCTCTGGTGGCTGCAGCGTGTTGTGAATCACGTTTAGCCAACTGTGATGTTCCGAGCCTCTTGCGATTCAGTATCCTAGAGAGCATGTCGTGGCTGGTCTTCACCAACATCGCAGTACGCCAAAACCAAATAGATGTAGACCCCTATCTTGACGCCAAGTAATGCGCAAACTGTGGCTCCAAATTGAGATTTTACCCAGTGATAGTGTCTTGCTCAATCCAGTACAATGTCTCGGATGACGTTGATTTTACAGTGACTATATTCAACTAACAACAATGTTCATGAGATCATTTGCCTCTGTAATTCTGTAGCTAAGGCTACGAGGTCATCTAGGTTTCCGACAGCGATGGTGGATGTATTCGGAAGCTGATCTCTCCGACACATTGGACAAGACTTCTGTCCTCTCCTCTTGGAGGCTTCAGTCCACTTGATTAAACATTTGAAGCAGAAAGCATGTCCGCACGTCAGCCTGAAAATCAATTTAGGATGTATGAGAAGAAAAGGCAGAAGAAACGCACATGCGTGGCGTGTTCATAAGATTCAAACATATCCGGCACGAGAGTTCTGACTCTAGAATTTCCTGAAGCTGCGAAGGTTCGGTTTAGTTTAAGGTCGACAAGCAGGGACAGAACACAGACCTGTGAGAGTTTCCGATGCTTCCCCGGGCCAGCGAGGACTCCATCTCCACGCTTGCAAGATGGTGGTTCTCTTTCTATAGTCCTCTTGGGCTTGGCACGGTTGTTGTCCTCTTGTGGGATGGAAGCGGGCGAGGTTACCACAGGAGGACGCGGTCTCAAGTTGTAGGGATGGCCGCGTGGAGATAGAGCTTTGATTCGCGATGAACGTCGCAGATTGGGGGAGGTAAAATTTGTCATAAGTGTTGCTTGGGGAGGATGAGAATCGGAGCAAGCATGTTATACAGATTCGTGCTGAGCCACCCGCTTTGTTTCTTTTGAGGTAGGGGGTCCCGATTGTCCATACAATGGGTCATTGGTGCATGCTGTACGATGCCGACACAGTGGCCATGCATGGTATATGTCACAATTCATAGACCCATCCATTGATTCCTGCGCGGTGGACAAGGCAAAGCTCCTAACCCCTGTCATACTGCCTCCAACGAAGGCTGATCAGGAGGCAAAGCTCCTAACCCCTGTTCATACTGCCTCCAACGAACGAAGCTAATCAGCTTTAGTCACATCTTTGCAGCTAGCACTCACCATGTTTGCCCACCGCGTGGCTCTAAGCATTTGCGAAAACCCCTCAGATGACAGTGTGTACATGATCCTCTGTTATACGATATGCTTACATATCTTCTATCACAGCGCTGTCATTGACTTATGCTTTCCATCACCTCCACCCGTCAAGTGCGACGCTCATCTGCAGTGGGCTTGACGCAGACGCTGCTCAAAAAATATCTCTATCGTATTCTCTTCCGCCTAGTGAATCACCAGGCAAATCACGCCAATGCAGTGTCGACATCAAGACTAGGCATATTAATGGTGTCTACGACATTATCTTTCCACGTCATTATGAAGTCGATTTGGGGTTGGTCCAACTCTCGGTCAAGAATGGAGACAAAGTTGTTATCAGTGTGGGTTCCACGCTGACCAATCGCAGCCTTACATCTTTACCTTCAGTCGGTGTGTACGAGCGAGGCGATATACATAACAGTGCGAAACTGATCATATTCTTAGTCGATGTCATGTGGGAAGTAACCCCAAGTTGTGTTGACCTCAAATCTTGTAGGGCGAATATCTTGTTGGAACCCGCATTCCACCTTAAGGTAGCATTTTCTTGTTGAGTATCTGTATGCTGTCTTCAATCGTGCTCTGTCCACCATTGTTTGTTGTTCTAGCTCTAAATCGTCTTGTTGTCCATTGTCCTAGCTCTACACCTTGCATTGGTTTACTGTAATGATTACGAATTACAAGTTTAAAACACTGATGGTCTATAATTACTGCGAATGCGAGCATCCTCAACAGATCTAAGGTGTAGAGAGGGATCATCATGATACAAAGGACCAAGCTTGAAATATGCAAGCGAAACAACACACGTTAGGAGAAAGGCATAGACAGGTAAAATCCGTATTAATGATAACGTATGGTTGCGAGGGGGTGCTCTGGGAATCCGACTGGTCTGGATGCGCGGAACAGGCTGCACCATGTGCCTAAGCTGGGCGGAGGTCTGTCATGACTTGAGAAACAGAAGAAGATATGACATAATGGGGCTTACAGGGGTCACAGGACTACCAACGAGAGCGCCGAGTGTGCCAAATTGGCTGGCCAGCTCCTGACCCGCCGCCACCGAGTCCGCTATAATGAGGGCGGGGTCCATGGCAACCTCGTGTAACTCATCTTGAAGACCCATAAGTATTTGCGTGAGGTTCTGCTGATCCGCTTGCATCATGGTATTTATGTTTTCTATCGTATCCAATCGCTTAGAGGTTGCGATCCACCCTTCAACTTGAGGGAGCAGACCGCCCTGTAGATCATAAATAAGTATTTTCATGTAGACTGAGGAAATGCACCGACCATGCGCTGCTCCAGCATGTTTAAACGCTCTTCCAAAACACTAGTGTTGTCGGCGGGATGTCGATCATGAAGGCTCTCAGCTTTATCCTGAGCTACTATGAATTGGCTCTCCAGCTTGTCGAGTCGCCTCGTGATGGTAACGTCAGCTACAGGTGGTGCTTCCACCTTGAAACTGCAAAGATGGTCCTCGATCAGCGCCGGGATACTCTGAATCTGATCCTGCATGCTTCCCTGGTCAAATTAGTGACGACGGTGCCGTGATCACAAGATAGCGTACCATTGAATCCTCCAAGTGAGAGATGGATCTCTCAACACGTCCGAGCCCTTTGTCTAGCGAAGCCACTCCGTCTTCGAGCTTCCCAACGGAGGTGTTCAACGACGAGATATCTTTGTAGATGGGCAATTATAGGGCTGAATGGATCATTGGGTTCATCCTGGATGAATTGAGGAACATCCACCAATAAGGGGCGACCAGGCCCAAGGGGAAAGGTATGCATGGGGGATTGATCCAATTGAGGTGATTCCGAAGACGAAGACTGTTCACTTGCAAACGTACTCGTCTCGGAAAAATCTGCTTGAAGACCATGCGCCAGCATGGTCGATGTAATGCTGCTGGTGAAAAGTGTCTCCGCCTCCGAGTTTTGTGTAGTGTCGCTCGTAACAGACATGTGTGCGAGGAATTATCGGCTAAGAATGAGGTCCTTGAATCTCGACATTTCAACACATCACGTGAGGGGCCGTCACAGTGCATGCTCATGCCTTCATCATCGCACTTCCTTTGTTCTTTCATACTATAATATGGCAGGTTTGCATAGGACCACCCTTCATCTTAAATTCCACCACCAATCAGTACTGAGCCACTCCCAGTTTCTTCTACATCCATGCTATTTGCGCACGATGGTCTCTGGTGAGTCCCCATGTTATGAACGATATGTATCTAACACTAATGCTCCCCCGCACACTTTGCGTAGGTCGATCATTTGTGATGCTGGAACCAGGACCAAGGTCTGCCTAGGACATGACGTCCTCGTAACCCAGATTACATTCAAAGGCACCCCCTCTGGGTCTCGATCGACGGTTGAACTAGAATATCAGGCATTTGATGGCGAGGCAAAATCATGCCAGATCGCTTCTTTGATCCCTGGACAGGTACGAATTCCGTCTCGAGCGAGACACTGTATATCTGATGTTCTTTTCGCAAGGTTGAGAATGTCAGCCTTCAGTTGCCCTTAAAAAGCCAGGCGGAGCATTGCATCGTCAACAGTGGTACCAGGTTAGTTACCTGCCTTTTCCCTCTCCTTCTTTTGACACATTCGCATTCCAGCAACATATCTCTGGTTGGATTTTATATGTCCTCGGGCGAGCCAACTTTGCCGATGCCACATCCACCCTATTGGCCATGGGCGGCTATGCATTCCCCAGCGATCAACCCACCCCATGTACCAGCCACCATTTCCGTAACACCACTAGCAGTACCTGCTCTCGGCACTGGCCCCGCATCAAGAACACGTCGGAGCGTGGCCAGGACGTCCAGTGAGCTGACGATCCCCGATGAAGAAGTGAAACCCACGGCTCGGAAACGCAAGTCGTCGCTAGCCGATGTCAAACCTCCTCTCAAACCTGCTGTGAAGAGGCCTAGAGCAATCCGAAAAGGCCTTGCCGCAGATGACACTGTAAGCATCGACCCATCGACTGCGGATCCAGACGTGCCTGCAAGCGGTAAAGCGGTAGTCCCAACAACCGTCCCAGTTCCAACAGTTGAGGTCGCACATTCTGATTCTGACATGGCGCGAGAAATAGGGGAACCCCTCCTTCAAGGCGCACAAATCGTCCAAGAAGACTATACCTGGCCGATCTGGACACCACGCTCGACCTGAGGGCACCTTGGAAAATTGTGAGTTTCTACGCGCATAACCTGATCTCCTCACTGCTAACCATTCATCAGCACTCCTGTCTCCTGACATGACACCCATCACATCGGCGCTGAGCGAACACCACGCTCGACCTGAGGGCACCTTGTTGGACGACTGTGAGTTACTGCTTACATAACCTGATCTCCTCAGTGCTAACCAATCATCAGCGCTCGTGTCTGCTGCAAGGTTGGAACAACGTTGGATGTTTGCCAATCTACCCGATTTCTGCGCTCCAGGTACTCGAGGATCCTGACGCCATCCAAGATGTTCTTACAAGCTCCCATCCCAATTATAACCATCGATCTGGGTCTTCCTCTCAAGAGCCTCTCGACGAATCCGCGAACCCGCTCTCCTCATCTCCGTGCAAAGCAACTTTACATCACCGAGACACGGTTGTGGCAGGTTCGCGACGGCCCTCCACAACGTGCTGAGACGGATACCCGCTAAGTTCAACATGGAAATGGACTCTTTCGTTGCTAGTGATGGAAGGTCTGACACATCGGATGGTGCAGATGATGATGAAGATGATGAGGGGCCTGATAAAGATGATGAAGGGTCGGACGGCGAGGGGGATCGGGCGAGCAGGACAGCACGGATTCAGCTGTGGAAAGCAAGCAAGCGCCTCAGTCCCATCGCTCTAGGTCACGTCGAACCACACCACCAGTACGGTCTTCCCCCCCCTCCACGTCTTCGCGTCCATCTACGTCTTCCTTCACGCCCACCTAAATCTAATCGGCTGCTGCCACTCGATACCGCCTCATCTTGTACCTGGACAAGATAGCACTGCCCATCATGAAGGGACTACCCCCCCTCCTACCAAAAAGCATAAAGCTTCTCATCGACACTAGAATGCCCACGTTGACTTCCGTACTATGTAGCGTTTGTTCAAGGACTTGAGTTTGGACATTAGACAAACAAATGTTGTACATCTCATACGTGAAAGCATTTGCAAGACTAGTTCGCTGAGTTTCATTTCCAGCACCATTACTCCGTCTCTCACACATGATAGTCAATGCGCCGGATGGGCCCTCAGTCAAGCAAAAGTCAAGCAAACGACCAGGATCCTGTCTACGGTGATTACGATCCCATTGATAGTTAGGAGTTTGTACTGGGCTCTACTCGTAGGAAGACAGCCATCCTTTTTAAAGGAGAACTTGACGTATCGACGAGGTTCGGAAGTGCTTCGAGAATCTGGAAGGTAGGCTCACCTCCGGTGAAGCGGATGGCAGGCCGCAGTTCGCAATATGATGCGACATGTTTCATGATCATGACTGCATATAATCGGGACAACCAACACCTTTTTAATGCTTTCACTAAAACTGATTCACAGATGCTGGGCCACAGGGCCTAAGGGTTCCCTTTGTTCGTACTTTGGTTTGTTCCACGACATATAAGAAGGGCCCCCATGCACAGCAGCACCAACCAGCACCCATACCACCCACCGACCCGACTACTTCTGTACTCAGTCTACGCACGGCCATGTCTGACGCACCGCACAATTGTTCCACCCCTTCTATAGCAGGGAAAGTCTTTGTCTTCTCTAGTCATACAGATGGTATGTCTTTCAACCCCGAGCTCCCTTCATCGTCAATCTCACGTTCCGTAATACAGGCTTGGTGGACGTTGAATGCCATGAAGCACTCGCTCGATCTACACCAAGCGAGCTCGAGAGTGACGAAGAAGGCGAAGAGTCGGAAGGCGAAGGCGAAAGCGAAGACGAAGACGATGTCGCATCTATTGAAGAAGTCATCCAAGAATTGCTGGAAGAGCATCCTGCTCTGATTATCACTGCGGCCATGGTCTTGGGTGCATTTTTCTACCCTTTCATGAAATCGGTGTTGCTCTTGATAGCTGCATTGGCGCCACCCGCCTCGCCAGAACTTACTGGCATGTCGGCAACTCTTGAATTCCCTTGCCTCACTACATATTTGATTGTCACTTCTGTCCGTCATACAAGCTAATATGTATTCTCGTTCTATTCTTTCCCACAATTCAATTCAATGCAACGTCGTCAACCGCGACTGAAGAGTCGCATCTCGTGCCTAGTCCCACTGGTAACACCCATGTTGGCGACCTCTTCAATAACAGCGACTTTGAATCCTGACAACCCTCCTAGCTACTGGTGTTTCGCTGCTTCCCATATATGAATCTTTCCCATGGGTTCTTGTGTCTGGTTTCCTTTGTCCTCTTTGTGACGAACGACTGCTGGACTTCGGATCCTGAGCCGCTCGACACTGGCACTGGGTAGTCGAGCACGTTGCGCTCTCCCACATGTTCGGGTGAAGTTCACCTGAATGGCCGAACAACACCTGAACAACACCTGAACAACACCTGAACAGAATCCGAACATTGGCTGAATTTCTCCACCAAAACTCTTTTTTTTGTTTCAGATTTTGTTCAGGTCACCTGAATTGTTCACCTGAACATTTGGTGAATTCAGGTGAATTTGACAGGTAATGTTCACCTGAATGTTAGGTGAATTCAGGTGGAATACATTAGTACTACTTCTTGTTGCAGGAATTCTTGAATAATGGCTCCTTTTAAGTGGGAAAACTGTTCAAAGAGGTCAACAATACTTCTTCCTAAGAATATCTTTTACTCTGAACACTGTTCTACTAACAAATAGTATATTGTTACAGTGGGAAAATATCACCCAAAATAGAAGTTGTAGAGCCATCTTTTCCGACTCTGCCGGTATAGATAGCATTGTGAGAACTTGACTTATTAGTGAGAAGAATGTAAATTACTTGAAAAAACAGGGAAAGTTTTCAGTTTTCTTACTGTATAGACTGTTTAAGAGGTCTACTATGTTTATCAGCAGTTGTTTTGTCAATGCTAAACACTCATTATGCTGATAGTGAATACTTTTGGGAAAGACCAAGATACTTTTTGTAGGGTATATCAACCTGGTTATGTGACTGTTTGTAGAATTCTCATGAGCTACTTTCATTGTTCCGCAGTAGTTGATAGAAATAGTAGAGTGACATAGAAATGACACCATGGATGACAACCATATTGATGAGACCATATTCAGGTGTTGTTTGTATGTGGTTCAGATGATGTTTGGGTAATGTTCATGTAATGTTCAGATAATGTTCAGGTGATGTTCAGATGCTGCTCAGATGACACTCATCTGACATTCAGATAGAATTTGGATGATCTCTGTTCACCTGAACATCACCTGAACATCATCTGAACACCATCTGAACATTATCTGAACCTGAACAAAGGCTACAAACAGAATCTGAACATTACCTGAACATTTGGTGAAATTCACCTGAACAGTATCTGAACAATACCCGAATACCCAAACATCACCTGAACGTCAGATGAACATGTGGTGGACTGCAACATACACCACGCCTGAGCTCGACAATGTACGTGGCCAACGGACAGACATACAAGCCGGCTTGGAGCATGGAACATTAATGTATGTGCTGAATTGTACGTGCTAAGTGACGAACCAGGAGCTGTCCCCAAACCACTGTATGTACGCGCATCGGGATCGTGCATGTCGGTCTATCCACGGACGGATGGACATACAAACCGGCTTGTAACCATTGTATGTGTGCGCATTGTTGAATGGTATGTGCATGATGGTCTACTCACTGACGGACGGACATACAGGTCAGCTCGGAGCATGGAACACCAGAGCTCGCTCGACAGTGGACACTAGTACTGGCCCTGGGTAGTCCCGCTGAATGGTATGTGCATGACGGTCTACCCACGGATGGACAGACAAGCCGGCTTGGAGCATGGCTCGCTCCACAATAGTGGCACACTGGGTAGTCCCTATGTACGTGCTAGGCATGACCAACCTAACCACTGTATGTGTATGTACGACGGTCTACTCACGGACGGATGGACAGACAAGCCGGCTTGGAGCATGGCTCGCTCCACAATAGTGGCACGCTGGGTAGTCCCTATGTACAAACCTAACCACTGTATGTGTATGTACGACGGTCTACTCACGGACGGACGGAGATACAAACCGGCCCGGAGCATAGTTCGCTCAACAATAGTGGCACACTGGGTAGTGCCGATGTACGTGCTAGCCATGTGCGCATGCATGAACGTTAACGCGTTAACGTTTGAACAACCACTACACTGCATTCCTTTCTATGAATGAGATCATGTTGACGCGCCGTGATACTTCTTACCAGCCTGTACATGTGAAGCCATTCTTCTATATACCATCGAGGTTTAGTACTTTCAAGGAAGAATTATGCAAAGTACTGAATCGGGCTTTGAATTGTACTTTCTCCGTACTGAATGTCTTAAGTACCGAAAATTTACCTTGAAAGTGTTTGTTTGTACACTATTTGGTATTTTAAAGATACTACAATAAAAGGTACATAATTCTCTCAACCGGGTAATTCGGAGAAAAAGACTGAAAAACAAAGCAAGGAAATTTCATAAACTACCTAAATCTCCATCACGGTACTTTTATGGTACTATTTGAGTAACTCTTGCCTATTATCAGTGTTCTTTGTTGCAAAGTACGCTAGATGCGAGGTTTCATACTTTTATTGAGAACTTGCCACAAAGTACATTAAAATTACTCCTAGTACTTTCAAAGTAATTTCATTGTGCAAACAGTAAAAGTACTAATCAATGCACGTTGTGACACATATTGAACAGTGCATTTTTTGTTCTTTTCATGTCTCTTCATGAACTAAATATCAGCAAGGCCCTAGTGATATCCCCAAAGGTACATCCTCATGACCGCCTAAAGCTGCTTTATCTCACCCACTTATGTCCTTTAGCTGATGCTCCAACATTCAGTAATGGGACCACTGACATACTTGCAGATGTACATCCAAGTAAACAATGTCTCCTGGATAACCCAATTCAACCTGTTTCTTTTTGACGGCTGGGTTCTAATAATGTTGACATAGCCTGGGAGAAGAAAAAAGCACCACAACCATGGAAACACCCAGCACCTGGTTCGCATATTCTTCTCACTATTCCATTTCCAACTAATTCTTACTGACATTACTACGTGCAGAGGCTACAGACGATCCAACTCCCACCAATCCCATTCCAAAGAAGAGGGTCAAATCTCAAGGTACGGAAGTAAGATTGTCTTTAGGTACTTGTCTGACGGTTATCTATGTAACTAGCAGCCCGTTTATATCCATCTCCATTGTTAGACGACCATGGGCAGGCCAAGGATGTTGCACAACAGGTCAGTAACACTACGAAGCACCACGAACATATAAACCATAGCCAGACCCGCGCCCTCAATATTGGTAAGGATAAGTATACCGACCATATTGAGGATGATGGCGATCATTGGCAAGATGATATAGAGGAAGAAAGTGATGATGAAGATAGCCTATATGAAGATGAAGAAGACGAACTTGATGACAACAATGATGGGGTCAGACAAACAGACCAAGAAGTAAGTCTTCTTATCACATGACTACAAACAGTGCCTCAACAATAATTGATACTTCAATAGCGAGCAATTGTTGTTGGTCCCAACATGTGCAACAGCCCAATTGCTCTGGACCAGGCCCCCCAGCAGGAGGAGCTTTTTGATGATGAAGATAGAGATGGCTGAGGACGATGGCATGGAGGAGAATGATGATGCTTCCCAAGCCAAGAAAGCTGTTTGGCAGGAAAAGATTGAAGCCGAGGTGAGTGCCATAAGTGGGGATCATTTACTATCTCTCAAGGCAGCCCACCCAGACAGCCTCTATCTCCGCCCATTCCCACTCCCACTCTGTAGCGTCCACACGAACTCAACCTACAGCAGTCACCTGGCATACTGACACCAATCTCACTCTCACCGCTACTGGCCGTGAAAGCGCAAAACTTGATATACATTTGCAAACAAAGTTAGTCCGTGATGTCTTACAAAAGGCAATTGACTACGGGCATCACTACCTTGCATTTGGTGTTCCGGACCTTCATGACTCGCTAAACACTACAATGATCCCATTTTGTCCAACTCCACTTGACAGAAATCATTCAATGCCTCAAAGAAGAAGACCTCAGGGTCTATTGCCAACCTATTCTTGACCATGTAGGTGATTTGTCTCCTCAAATAATGACCGGTGTCTGACAACTTGGACTACCTATATCTTGGGCCACTAGCTTTCACATCGGCTTAGCGTTGAATGGGGTCTCATCCGCAAGGCTATTCGGCAGCTTGTGACGGTCTACTACAAGCACCTATGTAGAACGAACGAGATAATGTTAGTTCTCAGTCGTACCAGTATATGGTTCGAAGCTCAATATATTATAAGAAATATATATACCTGTAGAACGAACAAGATAATGTTAGTTCTACAATGATACATGTGAGTATTCGTAGATTATCACCGGGCATAGCATGGGATTACATACCTCAGTCGTACCAGTATATGGTTCGAAGCTGAGGTATAGGATAAGGATGTGATTGCCTTATACGATAGGCGCTTAAGATGAAAAAGGGATAGGGGAAATAGATATATGCCGTGGTTGATTGATCCCCACTCTCAACAACCTGGACAACCCCAAGATTCTTGAGGTATTGATGACACGCCGTGGCTATATCTACCAGCAAAAAGATGTAAGCCTACCTACCGTGCCTCCTTCATGACCTTCCTTACTGACGACAATCATAGGATGGTTCCGTAGATCACCGGAAACTATACCAGGTGTCCATTCTTGCCCCCGGCATCAAAGCGGCCTTCTTTGACAGTGACGGTGTGGATAATACAGTTGAGAAACCCGGTTTCTCGGAGAAACCCCAAGAACCCCCTTCAAATAAACTTTATCAATGTAGCAACCGGGGTGTGTCTTCCGGCGAGGCCATATAGGACCCTTGATAATACAGCCAAAGGCCTGATCCCAAGGTCGGCCAAAGTGTACTCTTCAATTCGCCCCAATGTGTACGAAATGGCTCAGCCCTAGCTAAGAAATATGCAAATATGTACGATTTTCGGAGGAGGCCCTTCGGGCCTCCCGAAGTGTATAAATTTCGGCTCAGGCCTCTCTAAATAGTCTTGTAAATGTACGAAAACCGGCTCAGGCCTCCTCAGGACCGTCTAAATGTACGAAATTTGATCCAGGCCTCTTCAGAAAGCCTCGGGACTGTTCCAAGTGAACAAAACACGTCCCAGCGAGCCCTAGAACACGCTAATGGCGCCTCGTATGCACAGAAAAGACTGGCATATATACACAAAAGTTGCAAACCTGGAACTAGTGGCGGATCACTAGGAAGGAATTGGGCCCCTCTTTCGTGATAAAGCCACGACTTTGGGGGTGGGTCGTCAGGATAAAGAGGACCATGCTTCCGACACCAGTCTTTGCGACTGAACGCAGGATTTGTTTCCTGCACGTTGGACATCTACTTGGTAGCACCGTGTAGTGTTTCGATTTAGAATTTGAAGTGACTTTTTACATTGTCTACCGAAAAAGACTATTAGACTATCTATTAGGTAACGAGTGCGATGAGTAACAACTCTTTGTGTATTGACATGGAATACAACTTGTGAGATTCTCAAGACTCGGCACATTGTGTACGAAGTTGGATCAGCCCTGGGGCAGAGACCTCCCAGATGTATGAAATTCGGACCAGGGATTCGTCCCATTTTTGCCTCCGATGTGTATTAAACGCCTCAGGCCGGCGGCCTTCGGCCGCCTGGAAGTGTACTAATTGGGATCAGGCCTCTGGCTGTATTATCAAGGGTCCTGGCCATATTCACTCCAGCCGGTGTGGAAGCGAAAATGTAAGGAATATTTGGTTCTCCATATACCAAGTCGTGAGCTTGAAGTAATATGTGCCAATCCTACCTAAATCTTAAGCTGCAGTCACTAACGGGGCGGGCTTGAAATTGGCATCACAAAGTTTTGGTCCTTCTCCGCGTGCAGATTCTTCACGGGGAGTTGTGGAGATGAGGGTCCGTGACAATGACTCCCCTCTACATTATTTAGGTTGTTGCTATCCGCATGGCAGGAGCATACCTTCTCCCTCTTCATCTTGCGGGTGCACAAGCCTCAAGGGCCTGGTGAGGTCATTTCATCTCTCATGCCTCTCACTTCCTCCGTCCGCATTCTCTCTCACCGCTCCCGTTGTTTCTTCTCCGGGCCTTGCGATCGTCGTGGCTCGTCGATGCCGCCGATCCAAATCAAGACAATGGCCTATTGTCGACGAGGTGCAGCTAATCAGCAACACCCGACCTTGGCGGCAAGGTTGTTGTATTATTAGTGTCTGCAAACTGTACCGTGTTTTGTACTTGCGTTACTCTTGGCCTCGCTCGTTGTTGGAAGATCAGAATGAAGTTGGATACTCCACGATCTCATTTTTCAAGAAGAGACGTCGTTTTCTCGTTCGGTATTTGTGTTCGTCGCTACTTTTCTAAATCCTTTCTCAACCAGCGTGCGTTCAAGGTGTAATATCATGCTGGGCTCTTCGTATGATTTGTAAGGTTAACCGACATTGAAGCCTTTGACAGGTCAGGCCAGGAGGGGAAAGATTATTACATCGCAGCGTTCTGTGTCTTGTTTCAATTTGAACGTGTGACGATAAGATTTGGAAAAGGCAGCAAGTAACGGTCTATTGGGTGCAGTGCGCGCGACAAATAGTTCGTTAACTATACTACGGGTGGATTATTGACGTCATTCGAGTGCAAAGTGTCCAGAGTTTGGACAAGTCGAGTCTCTGTTGAGGGCTGGGGAATGCGGGGGCCGCTGTCAGAGCGAGCGCACCGGGATGTATGTGTGGTTATCCCCTTTTAGGCAGCAGCAGCATCGTCAGCGGGTGGTGCGTCGGCGGGAGGAGCAGCGTCGGCGGGAGCGGCGGCGGCGGGCTTCTTGACCTTCTTCTTCTTGTCAGCGTTGGGGCTGGCAAGGACGAACACAGCGGCGAAAGCGAGGACGAAGAGTGCGACACGCATTGTGATTGGTGGCTGACGATAAAGCCTGTAGACAAAAAACTCAAATTAGGAGATAGGAAGAGAGGAAGAAGAGGAGTGCTTACTACTGGTGAGTGGCTAAAAGTTTGCTGAGGAAGCGAGGAGCGGTGGGGCAGGTTTATATAGCTCTCCAACGTGTCTAGCAGCTTTACCCTATCGAGCATCCTTTCATTCATGCAGTTGTGTGGTATTGCGTGAGCCTGAGGTTATTGAGCCCGTTGGCGTCGTGTGGAGTCGAAAAGCAGAATAATTGAGCTAACCCACGCCATTTCATGAACTTGTTTGTTGGAGTGACAAGCGACACCATTCCTCTTGTCCTGGTGCGCTTGAACACGGAAAGAGGTGAGTTGCGTCAAATGATCACGATCTAGTGATGTGGAGAGGGGCCTGCGTAACTTATTTGTATCGCTCAATTAGTCTGACAGTATATTCAAGTCTTGGGGGTTCGCACTTTGTGGTAGCCCTGCTTGAACATCATGAAGGGCCCTTCCGGCATGTTCTAATTTTTGAAATGAGCCTGCTTCAAGTCACCGGGCGCTTCGTGGCATGCCATACTTACACAAAAGGCGAGGTTCGGAGTTGGGAGCTAAGAGATATTAGGCATGTTCCGGGCGGACTCCCGGCCGACGCAACCCGCTCAACTTTGCATTGTTGCTAGGGGTTTCCAAAGTTACGCGGAGAAACCCCAGAAACCGGGTTTCTCAACTGTATTATCCGTGACGGTGTGGGTAGAAAGTACCCAAACTCTTTCTCATCCACAATGGAGCCTGAAGAACGTGAGATCAGTCCATTTATGGTTGCCTTTGTCATGACGATGGTACACTTCTTATTTGTCTTTCTTCACACTCCATTCATTTAGCTTTCAGGTTGAAATCCGGCTACATGAGCTGCTGACCGGCAGCAATACAACTATCGAGCTCAAGGGAACAACGTGGGTCGAACCATACCGTCGCCACATGGACAGCCTTTTCGAGATGCTTCGTTCGAAACGCATGACTCATCGCGTTCTATATCAGGGGAAGCCAATATGCCTCAGCTTCATTGCATGATGAAGTTCTCGCAGATCTTGACCTCGAAATCATGGAGGTGTCAGATTGATATCTCATTGTATATGTTTGTATTACCGTAGAATAGCAATACAATCCCAATTCATTATACTGAAAACTACTTGCAACGATACTTGAATGATAGTGGCATTATTGTGTTAATAACGAGCAATCTATCAGAATTTTTCGTTACAATATGTCATTATGCCATCTTTGAGTATACATTATGCTAAGATTGGCAATGAATTGTCGGTGAATTGGACATGAATTGAATGTAAGATGTACATTGATGCGGCGGGGGGCCCCGTAACTTCTTGACAATTCTTCAACATTCACGCTTACTTACGCGCTCGCCCGTCAGATATCCATCATGTATTATGTATACTACTCGACGCCACTCAGTAACGTATCAAAATGTCAGTTAACATCCCCTACTTATCCTGGCCGCGAACTGACCCCGTCGACGCGCACAGCTACCTAGTTAGCCCGAATATTGAGCTTGGACTGCCAGGCGCGCACACAATAAGAAAATGAGGCACCAAACCAGTTCATTCGTCTATGTACAGGTAAATGATGAGCTAACGAGCCAGCCCCGTAACTCGAGGACGAACGAGCTCGCCGCGAGCCGTCCACTGACTGCGCCGCTCTCCCCTCCGATCTGTCCGCTCGCTGCACGCCCCGTGTGATGCCTGAGTCCTGGCCCGCTTACTGACGCCCGGCACCGCGAGCCTCGCGCAATGGCGACCTCATGGACTTGAGTTCGACGTGCCCACAGAGGTCCCGCCGCCGCCGCCGCCGTTGTATTCGCTGAATATCCCCCCTTCTCTCCATCCCGCTGCCATTCCTCGGCGTTTGACGGCTCGACAACGCCACCGTGTCGTTTGATCTCCATGGTGCGTCTGCTACATCCTCCTCCGACATTTGTACCTGATTCAACTTCTCCCTCTCCTCCATCCGTGTTCTCTCCTCCTCCCTTCCTCCTCCCTCTCGTTCTCGTTCTTACTCGCTCTCATTTTCGTTCTCGCTCTCTCCTCCCTCCTCCTCTCTCTCTCCTCCTCCATCGTTGTCGTTTCGTGTTTCGTTCGTGTGTCCCCTCCCGTATTTCCCTTGCTCCCGTTCCCGTTCCCGTTCTCGCTTTCGTTCTGTTTCGTATTTTCAGTCTCGTCTTCGTCCCCCTCTTCGTCCCATTCCCTTACCATCACCCACTAACCTACTAACTGTTCGCAGCCCGCAGCCGCAAACACCCGCAACACCGTCGATGCCCCCCGCCTCACGCTCGTACTCATGGCGCGAGTCAATCGAGGTGGATGCGCGTGGCGAATAGGGGCATTTGCGTCGACGGTGCGTGTCTTTCCCTCCTTCCTCCGTTTCGCATTTGTTCGTGTCCCCGCTGGTTTGTTCTCCCGCTGGTTCGTTCTCTCCCCCTCCCACTCGGTCTCTCTCTCCTTCCTCAACTCTTCGCTCGTCTCACTTCCCCTTCCACGTCCCATTCCTCTGCTTCGGCGAGCGGTATTTTGTACTCCTTCATCGGGTATCCCTCTGCCCCAATCGCGGCGTAAAGGTCTGTATTGGGATCTGGTTGCGGCGGGCCTTCGATCAAGTCGCTGACGTCAAAGTTGGCGTCGCCGACGTGGTTGTTGGAGGAAAGCTAGTCCCAGTCAAGAATACTTAGCTGAACCTTGAAGGCCGTCTCGTATTGCCGAACTTGGGACAGAAGCTTCTTGTCCCAAACGGGGTTGAGGGAGTGTCGAATGACGCGCGTACGGAATACCTTCTTGCCGAAGGAGATGACTACAAACGGGTCTATGTCCCACCCCGTACGCGTCACTGAACGGAAGATAAGATACTGATGTGTAGCACGAGCAGAAATACTCACCATTCTCAAGCCTGGGTAGGTCGTCTGCACCATGGATCTCCCGCATCACGATTCCAACGATATCATGCGACGCGCCAAAGTAATACTCCCCGTGGGTCTTGTTCTTCCTGAATCGCTTCCTTTTCCCAGCCGGCGGGGCGCCAACATCGAGGTTTGAGGACGAAGGCGTGGTAGCGGACGGAGTGCTGGGGGTGCTGGTGCTGGGAGTACTTGTCATCACAGACGACAAAGTAATATTCGACGACGACGCCCGCCTGAACTTCGTCTTCGGGATGAACCCACTAGACTTCGCGGTCGTAGGGACCGGCGTGGGGGTGGTGGGCGAACCCAAGTCCCCATAGATGCCGGGAGGGCGAGACGGGGAGGGACCGGCTTCGGCCCGGAAGTCTGAAGTTTCTTGATGGCTGCCTTCTCTTCGGAAGGGGTGGGCGGAGTCGGCGGTGAAGATGCTGCGGTGGTATAGTCTGAGACTTCTTCTGTGTCGTCTTCCTCATCTGAAGGCTCCGAGCTTAACCCGCCATCGTCCTCTAAATCCAGTGCAGCGTTGTGTGGTCGTACAGCGACAACGCCGTCGGTCTACGCGATCATGAGCGAATGCAACGTAGCGCAAGAAGCGAACGTAATCACCGGCGGAGCAGAGACGCGGAGGGCCTCGATCGCTTCACAAGGTCAGAGAAGACTTCCTTGAAGTCTACGGGCAGCAGCATTGGGCGATACAAACCCACGCTTAACCTTGACTGAACCCGTCGCGTGGGTGTTGGCTCCCTCTTGTTTGAGTTCAAGGTTGCGTAGAGCATACCACATGGACGCACACGCCCCGTGAACGCGTGCGCTGCGTCTCGACTCTTACGCCTCCTGTCTTTTCCCAAATCCGAAACCCTTATTAATCGACAATCAATCTCTTCGTTTCGCGGGTCGAACTCGTCAATTCGCGCGGTCTTCACAATTGAGACCTGGGAGGGTGGGCGATGGGCTTGAGTTCAGGTGGAGACGTGGCAGTGGGAGTGGAGACAACAATGATGGTGGTATTGGGGAAAGAAGTTGACGCCGCTCGCGAGTACGATTAGCTCCCTTCACTTCAGTCTGCGTGAATGACCGGTGAAATTCGAGGTCGCCGCGAGATGTGCTGCAGGCGCCATGAAGCCGCGCCGTGTGAGAGGGGGAACAGCTTGAGGGATGATTGACTGTTGCGGCTTTGGAGGCAATGATCGTCATGATTCCTGTGTTCGTGGCATTGGGTACAAGATTTCGGGCTAAGTTTGTTGAACTCACAAGGTCATGGGCGCACCCGCGCTGTTCCTACATCCCTAAGTGTCCACCCCACGTAGACCCCAGGTTTGGGGATCGCCCGACGTGTCAGAAGTCGACGTTCACCCCCAAGCCGAGGTAGCAATCGGCGTGGGCGAAGGTCGAGTGTCGTTTGTTGATCTCGAGAACGATTAAGGATAAGTTAACGGCGCGCATGAAAAAGGAGTGAAAAGAGAGCAAAATGGTACATAAGTAGGAAGGGCAGAGGCGTATGGAGGGACCACAGAGTCGTACAAAGAGTGAGAGAGTGTCCGTGGGATGAAAAGACAAGGAAATCGCGAATGGTAAGGTCCATGCGTCGAGGGAGAATTGGTAAGAACCAGATTATAGTCGGCGGTGCGAAGCTCCATTGCCGACGATGGACGAACATGCGAAGCGCCGGAAGTCCAAGCTTCAAATTCAATCTCAGCAGCCTCAACGTCCGCCATCTCCACCACCATCGATATGGTCGAACGCAAGCACGAGAACGCCGCTTCTTCAGAGGCCTCGGGAGATCAAAACAAGCGGGTGAGGCGCTTGAATACTCCCTTGTTATTGAGGGACTCCTCAACGCCTCAGCCTTCTCCACGCCAATCTCCAGGCTCCCCCACTCCTCCCCGCCCAACACCACGCTCGCCAACACCACGCTCGCCAACACCACGCTCGCCAACACCACGCTCGCCAACACCACGCTCGCCAACACCACACTCCCCCACTCCTCCCCCCCCAACACAACTGTTGCCATCGTAAGCTCCTCACTAGTATCCTTTTCCGTACTGCTTCTGATATTCATTTATTTGCAGGAATGTCTGGCATCAAACCATTATGAAAACGACTGCGATCACAATTAACTTGCAAGGCATCAGATCTCCAGACGAGGTGCACCTGAGGTCGCAAGGGAGTAGTCTCCTCCTTGATGCGAGCAACGCAGACATCAACTACAGGTGGAGGGCGAATTTTCGCGGCCCAATTAGCGTAAGTTCTTCATTACCAAGATATGGAGCTGTACTGAGCAAACTAGCCCGACTTCGTATTTGTGGGGCTGGTTGGGGAGGAGCTACGAATCATGGCGACGGCAATGATGTATAGAGACGACGAATACGAACCACATGAATACCCCGTAGCTGGTGAGTCTCGCCCCCCATCGCGGACATGGTAACTAACTTCTACTTAGCTCAATCGCCATGGTAGATAATATCTACCATTCCCATTTCTTGAAACTCACTCGCACTCGCACTCGCACTCGCACTCGCATTTGACCTATACGGCGCTGTTCTGAATCTGCATCTTGCTATCTTGTACCCATATCATACATACTGTATACTCGTATTAATCTACCATTTCTTGTATTTACACGTGTATCCTCGCCTCTTGAATACACACTGTTGGAATCTTGTCATCGCTGTCAGAAATGCATTAATGAAATTCCATGTAAATGAGAGTAGAAAGACGACGTACGAAGCAATTGGCATGGGTACGTCGATACTTGTTGAGCCCAACTCCGAGAAACTTTTGGCCGTGGAATAATGCCAGTACTAGGCCCAGCAACACCACTAGGCGCGTCAGCGGCTGATGGAATTTGTTACCATTGGTGGTGAGCAGTATCGCAACGGGCGACTTAGGGCTTGAAGAGTCTAGCTGAGGTCCCGCGGACCTTCCAGACAAAGTCCTCGTAGGCGTCACAGACCCCGGTACACCTCCACCAGGCGCAGACGCGGGAGGCATTAATTCAGGAGCAGCGGCCACATTGGCTGGTCCAAGAGGAGGCCCCACAAACGGCTCGGGACAGAATGTGATGGCGACTGGTCCAATAGAACTCGCCGAATCGACTTCACAGTCTAGCGAATAACGTCGGGCCTCTGCCCAAGATTCCTCTCGACGTCATCGCCATGTGCAACGCCCTCGAGAGTCCGCCAAGCCCGCTGCCTGGGTGACGTGGGAGAGGGGTACCTGTCGTTGGCGGATACCGCGAATTGGCGGCCACGGACAGATGGCCTGGCTCGCTTGGCCTTTGGGAACCATACAGCAGCACGGCAATGGACGGTGGAAGATGGGAAGTAGGGTATGTACATCGGGCCTTGCGACAAGACAGTCGGCTTTGGCGCGTTAGGGTGAGGCATGAAGAGACTGGTTCTCGTGACAGAGTCGGGATGCTTTTCACCCCTCAATTCAGCGAGCGACGGGCGAAGGTGCGAGACCGGGGGAGCCAGTAATGGAGTGGCTGGAGACTGGGGTGGAGGAGGGGCCATCTCGGCGGTCGCGGAAAGGAGAATGGTGTCAGATGATGTCAAGTTCGCCGCGAAAGAGTCTAAAGGAACGGGGACGTAGTCCTCGGGATGTCTTCGAGTGTATTGTCGATGGAATCGTGGGGGTTTACCAGTGGTAGTCCAGCTGAAGCGATGTCGTCATTTCCTCCCTTCCAGTCCTTCTGAAGACCTCCTTCTCCCGCTAGTTCAGGACTTTCTTGCCGTTCATCACCTCCCTCAAAATCTGCGGAGACGAAGCTCATCAGGAAAAACCTCCTCGGTATAAGGCGGCACAATTGCCCAGAATTTAACACAATATGTACATTTGCGGTAGAATTATCAAATTGGGAATGTTGAATAATTGTCAAGAAGTTACGGGGCCCCCCGCCGCATCAATGTACATCTTACATTCAATTCATGTCCAATTCACCGACAATTCATTGCCAATCTTAGCATAATGTATACTCAAAGATGGCATAATGACATATTGTAACGAAAAATTCTGATTACGGGTCCTGTAATGAAATGAAAGGAACCGTTCTTTATTTGGGTGGGGGTTTTGGGCGCTTCCTTAAGTGGACGGCTACTGTGGTAGCCGGTAGCCGGTCATCTGGAATCTCGGGATCTTGTTTAATTTTAATTGAATTTAATCTAATTTTGTATTCAATGTTAATTCAATTCAATCAGCCTTTCCTCACTTGTACACGTGGGAGAGCTTCCAAAGCTAAATGAGAGTTAGCACCGGAGATCATGTAAGTTGCCATATTAATCAATATTCAGGGGGAGCCTCAGGGGAGCCCCTCAAAACACTGCTCAGCAGTCATACTCACTGTTTCATTTATGCTCATATTGTAGACTTACACTCTGGCATGAAATATGATATTTCACATGTATCATATTAGCTTTGTAATATCAGTAGTGTAATAGAGTGTCAAGAGTGTCAACAAATTGTCAACAATGGCAATTTCAGATGAACATGGTTGATCAGTACATGTGGATGAGTCTGATAATATATGTTTCATAACTAACTAGCAGAGATATGCACATCTGTAGAGTGGATAACTAGTTTTACATGACAAGTGTAGTAGTTATTCCCAGGAATATGTTTGAATTGGTATTTCAAGTAATTAGATCAATCACTGTCTTACTATACAGTAGAATAGCATCTAAATCCTGGAGTAGCTGGAGGCAAAAAAGCAGCACTGTACATTTACAAGAGTCCACTGTTATTGAATGGAGAAAAAGTATATGAATATGAGTTCTCAGCAATTTGAGTAATGTTTTTGAATCTCCTATACTCTGTATATGTTATAGGCGCATCCAGGAGGCCCCTTAGAAGCTACTAGGGGTGTATTCATGTGCACTCTGGCTATGGGCTCAGGCCGTGTATACTCGCGGATACTCGGACTTCTTGGATTATGGACTAAATACATATTTGAGCACACTGTACTTATTATGACTGGACTACTAGCTGTCTCATGAACACGCGGCTACTGTGTGTTCCTCAGTATATAGTCTTGTACTGTACCTACAGTTACCTCAGTTCGAATATTAGTTCCTTTCTGCACTCACATCCTCGCCTCTCTACTGAGGCCTCTCCCTCGCATCCCCCGCCTCCACTTGTACCTTCGGTACCTGCGTAGGATCCCCTCTGGAAATACAGGGCACACAAGAGTGTGGGAGGTGCAGCCAGTAGCTGAAGCCAAGCCTGTACGTCCTCACCTCTATGTGGAACCGCACACCTGCAGGTCTGCGTATTCCCGAGTCCCTCTGGGAGCGTGGCTCTAAACACAGACCTGAAGTCTGTTATATGTTAATGCTTACCACTATCCTTTCTGCAATTGCCTACACTGCAGCTTACAACTTATACTGGGCTTAAAGTTTCCATCTGTTATCTCCTTCTTTAGTGCAGACATTATCTCCATCTCCTATCTGACACAATGGCTATCTATTTTGCTAAGTACTATTTATGAATCAATAGGACCCGTACAGGCCATGCATTGCAGTGGCTACAGCCCCAAGTATGGTATTAGGCATCCTGTGGGCTCTACAAGGCTAGTAGATGCCTCACGAAAGCTTTATACAGTGTATACAGACTCCCCCACACACGTAGCTCCCATTCTACCCTTCCGAATCGTCCAATAACCATGCAGTCTTATTTTTCTTCCTTGATAGTACCATTACCTTTGCTAGCTTCGCTTTCGATGCATATAACTGCCTATATACTTCCCAGTCTTGCTCCGTCAACTCCATCTCCATGTTGCTACTTGAGTTTGCAGGTTTTAACGGGGCATCCTTGAGCCTGGACAAGAAGGCGAGCGAGGGAAGGGTTGCAAAGTGACGAGTAAGGAAATGCGATGTTGTATCCGTGATGCTGCTAAATCGCCGCCCTTCAAGCCTATCCATGACATTGCGGCAACATTGAAGGCTTCTGATTGTGACACATGTCGACCATTCTTACCGCCGCCTTTGGCATATAGCACCACAACTGTAAACATAGTCAGATGCAGTCCGATGTTCTTGAGATACACGACACACAATGTATGACGAGCAACCCAACGTCGGCACCTCCACTGAAAATGTCCGAAAATGGATCCCGCCTAGGGACCAAATCCCAAAAATGTCCGAAAAAAGGACCAGGGTGTTTCACCTTTTTGGGCGTAAAATGTCTGAAAGTCCTCAGGCCGAGCGGCCTTCAGCCGCTCAAATCTGAAATCGGATCAGGGGGCTGACCTATTAACCAGGGTCCTGGGCTTAGCCCATCCAAGCGTCGGCAGCGAGGGTGCATTAAAAAACCTTTTGGTAAAACCCTGTGGGAAAAAGCCGCCAGGAAAAAGCTACCTGCTGTACCCGTTTGAGACGGGGCGGTGGGGACGTTATGGAGTGGGGCCGACGAGGAGTAGTTCCGGGTGACAAGCAGCGAAGTTGACCTGTGGATGATGGCATCAGCGATGTTGGGACTATGTGACGGGAGGCATTAGGAGAGCGAAGGGAGAACGGGTAAACCTAAGTGCACGGCGCATTTCGTAGGTATACTTAGCTAGTATCAATCATGTCGTCAGAAGGCAGTTGAGTGTTGAATGAACTTAGCGATAGCTGCTAATCCTTTTTGCGTGCCGAGTAAGAAATCGAGGGAGAGTGACGACGATGCTTCCCTAAGGATGTGGCAAGCATGTTCATGGAGAGGGCATTCAGTGAGGACATGTGCTCTAGTTTGAAGTAGTGTGTCGTCGCATGGACACGACAATGGTAGCCGAGGGACAAAACGGGAGAAGTACTCTCCGACAAACGCGTGACCGAGGGAGGCCTGTATGGTGTGAGAGTATGTGCGACGGTTGCCGGTAAATGTGCGATGGAACTTGGCAAGTTTGTAGGACGGGGGATGAGTAAGGGATAGGGCCGAAGGTGATGTTTTAGCAGATTCCTTCCACTGCTTCACCCATTGTTCCAGGGCTTTGGCTTTGGCATTAGCTTTAGCCCACGCAATTGTCGATCCGATGAAGGGCCTCTGGGCTGCTGCGGCCTTTGCTAATGTATCTGCTCTCTCATTTCCTCGAATTCCCGAATGCCCTGGCGACCAGGAGACACTAACTGAGAGGCCACGGTGAGATGATAGTAGTTGGTCGATGTTTTCTCAGAAAACAACTGACGCATCCTGCGATGGGTGCGGGCTTGTGTCGTAGATGGCCATGATCGCCGAGGTGTTGTCAGCAAAGATGTGAATACGTTTTACAGTTGGGATGTGTTGAACCACGTCTCGCAGGCGCTGGGAGGCACGAGCGAGGGCATACATTTCACCGTCGAAATTGTCTGAGCACGTGCCTAACCCAAGAATCCCTTGGGCTATTTCTCTACCTAGATGAAAGACAGTAAAGGCTGCTCCAGTGCGTAGTTCATCACCTACCGGGTGTCTCGAGCCATCTGTGAAGACATTGACGACTGAGGGGTCCGATCTTGCATCTGCTTCGCATTTGCAAATGTTTCTGATTAGCTGTTTGCGAACATCGCTATCTGTCGGGGCGTAGCTAGAGAACAACAGGCGATGCCCCCACTTGTTACCCAGTTCCCAGGGTGGGGTGGCGTATGGATTGGTACGTTCATCAATATCAAGCGAGAAATGGGCTCGAGTTGCCATAAGCTGCAGATTGGTGCCTTTTTTCCGACTTTTGGAGCGTGTCGGGCCTTGGACTGGGCCGTAGTTCCATGGTTCTGATAAGCGTATGACAGGCTGGGCGTGCCGTCGTAGCGAGCGGAGGCGGATTGCTGTATTAGCAATGGTACGCTCCAAGAGAAGGGGAATCGGCAGAATTGACCCAATATGATGTAGCGCTGCAACCGGGGAGGTGCGGAAGGTCCCTAGAATGAGGCGAAGACCCGCGTTTTGCACTTTGGTCATTTGTTTAGTTAGCCCTTTCTGGCGTATGCCGGTGTACCAGAGAGGGGCGCCGTATGTGAGAACTAGGAGGACAATGGTCTTGTAAGCTAGGCGGCGATTAGCATGATTCATTCCTCGCACGGAATTGCCGAGGACGTTGAGTGCTTGCACCTTTGACATGGTGCGGTTGCACATGACGCGAACATGTTCTTTAAACTCGAGCTTGCGGTCAAGGAAGAAGCCTAACCACCTCATGATTGGGTTGGGGAAAACTGTTAGCGAGTTATCTGGCGCAAGGCGAATGTGAATAGGGAGTAGGTCTGGAGACTTAGCTCTAGTAAAGTGCATGATTTCAAATTTCCCCTGGTCGACCGAAAGGCCGGCCGCTTGGAGAGCACCGTTAATGGTTTGAAAGTCAGCTTGAAGTTGGTGTATGTTATCTGCAATCGACTTGGAGAAAGCCACCAAAAGACCATCGTCGACGTAAAAATAAAGTGCCGACATGTTAGACCTTATCGACACTTCAATTACCGGGCTAGTATAAAGCGCCGCGAGGATTGGGGAGAGGGGAGAACCTTGAGGGATCCCGACTGAGCTAATCGATGGGTCGGTATTGAACCCATTGATTCGTATGGAGATTTGGCGATTTGAGATGAAACTTTGAATCCACGCTCGAACCTGGGAGGGGAAGCCAGCCAGACGTAGGACTTCAAGGAGGCGACCATGGTGAACGTGATCGAAGAACCCCTTAATATCAAACGCTAACGCTGACGCAGTTAGTCCTTTTTTCCAGCCTGACTGAATATCGTGGACGAGGGTGACACCAGCGTCTGTTGTTGACGAGTGGTCCCTGCACCCAAACTGGTTAGTAGGAATGAGCTGATATTTCCCTACATCAAATAGAATGCGGCGGGTGACCACCTTCTCCAGGAGCTTGGAGAGGCATTCCAGTAGCGAGATTGGGCGATACGACCGAGGTTGAGACATGTCCGTCTTGCCTGGTTTTGGGACAATGGCAACGATAGTTGCTCGCCATGCCTTTGGGTGATGTCCAAGACGGAGGCAGGCGTTGAAAACATCTGTGAGAAGACGGCTGCACATGGGAAAGCTCCATTTGATGAGGCGATAGCTGATTTCAGACGGTCCTGGAGCAGAGACGTTAGATGTGCTGTGTAATGCATCACTTACCTCATCTACCGATATTGGAATAAAGTCCCTAACGGGCTTGGCTTGCGGATCACTCTCTTGCGAGATGTCAACTTGCGGCGGCACTGGCGGAAAGAACACAGTCCTGAGAGTTTCTCCCAGCTCAGCTGGGGACGCTGCTACACCAGTATCGGTGATGAGTGGCGGGACACGAGTCTTGCGCTTGCCTGCAGACCAGTCTGCCAGACGCCACACATTATCCGGAGTAGCTGTTTCAAGAATACTATTAGCCCATTCTTGCTTAGCCTTCTTGACAATGCGGTGCATGTGGTTGAGGAGCTTGGGCTTGTCCTCCCAGGGGGCATTGCGCATCTCCTCAACTGCTTTACGGCAGTCCTCGTTCCACCACCGTGCGGCCTATGCCATTATGGGCTTGCAATCTGGCATACAAGCGTTAGTAGCCTGAACGTAGCACTCAACTAACCTGTCCACGAGCTGATCTAACTCCTGAGCTGTCTCTGGATTCCTGTAGCCGGCTGTGACTTCTCGAATACGGGCCGAAAATTCTGCTGACCACTCTTGTTGCTTCTCTGGATCCAGCCGCTTTCCCAAATCGGACGGAGAGTCTTCTTCGACTGGCGGTGGGAGCTGAGCTGTATAGACGATGGCATTGTGGTCCGAACCAAATGAGAGGTTCTCGTCGACAATTGGCGCACTAAACATAGACATGTCCACGGCCGCACGGTTAATGAATACGAGATCGATAATTGAATCACGCTGTCCGTCGGCGCCGAGTCTTGTACGCACGCCCCTAGGATTAGCCAGAAAGAAGAGATTGTCGGTCGCCCATTCCAGAAGGTCTTCGGCAGACTGCTGGTTGGCAGACGGGGGAATTGACCAAGCCGAGTGATGGAGGTTGAAGTCGCCAGCTACTACTGTTGGCACCGCAGGACTGAGAGGAAGGAATGACAGCATTGTTACTGCTTCAGCTTTTGCACCATTGCCGCCGTTATAGACGTTTACTGTAAGAAAGGTTGAGCCGCCGTAAGTAATTTCAACAGGCAAAAGATTTGGATGCTTAGCAATGTCCGGGCGGGGAGTTGCCTTGAGGCCTGCCACATTGTGTTTGACATATGTCGCGACCTTGGGGCACCCAGGCGCTAGAGGCGCGAATGACTCCCAGGCTTGCGAGGCTGTGAAGCCATTAATGGGCCGACCCTCTGGGGACGTGTCTGCCTTATCTAATCCGATGCGGCCATACCATGGTTCCTGAAGAAGAAGAATGTGAGTATCAGTCAAGTGGTTAAGCATAATGTGGGTGCGCGCCGAGGAGCGCGCTATGTTGAGCTGCACAATTCTCGACGGGGGGAGGTTGTTCATGCATCAACCTGCATGTGTGGTGGGGCAGGGGGGTTTTGTGGCTGTCGTTGGGGCTGCAGTGCCATTTGCGGAGGAGGGGCCAGCGGGGGAACAAGTCGAGGGACGAATTTGCGCTTTTCCGGGCAGCAGCCATCTGTGGCCCAGTGTTCACCCTCACAGTTGGCACACTTAGGCGTGCATTTACATGAGCTGGAACCATCTTTGAGAACCGAAGGACAGTAGACATTGTGTTCTGTCGTTGGATGCCTTTGCGCACATTTAGCACACACATGCGGCTTGGCACATAGCTTTGCCGTATGGCCGAGGCCTTGACATCTATCACATTGGGTCAGCCTGGGCTTTTCTCTCCAAGGACGTACCGGGGTGTGGCGCCCATCCATGAAGATGGGGGTCTTGAATAGTTCTTTAAGTTTTGATCCATCCGGGTCCTCAAATGCGAAGACAACTGGCGCGACTGGGGGCAATCCTTCGGCTGGGTTGGACACGAAGCGAGGCTCCTGGGTTATTTTGAGGCTCTTGATGATTGGATTGCGCCTGAGGAGGACACCAAGGGCCTTGGAGTCCCAATAATGGCCATCAAAGCCTACGGAGGGTACCCTCGAACAAACTGCCTTGGACCATTTCGTGTCGTGCGATATTATGACCTCGTCGAGGCCGTGATCTACAATGGGATGTAACAGATTAATATGATTATATACAGTGTTTGGATTAACGTGGGAGGGGAAGGTAAGAATTATGTTACCGCTGCGGTTCCATTCCGCACCAAGAATTTCTAAGCCGTCATTACGAGCGGCAGCATTATTGCTAAAAGCGTGGTTGAGAGCATGGAATAAAACATGCGAGGATTTGCGTTCGGCTTCGGGGGGTAGGCGACCTCGGAAACGTACAACGAACTTTGTGTTTGACTTCGAAGCCGGGGCCAGGCCGACGGCCTTAGGTTGCTGGGCTGGCTTGGGTTGACTCGAAGGAGCTGACTTAGCAGCTGATGCATACGACGATGGGGTGGGGGCTTGTGGCCGTGAGGTGGGCGTGATATTGGTTGAGTTGGGGACGGAAGAAGGGAGTGGGACAGATCCGAGCCGCCTTTCCACATTTGAAATCCGCGAGGAGAGATTAGCCTCCATGCTGAGGAAGAGATCCTTAATCTCTGATTTGAATCCGTCAAAACCTTTATCTTGGGCCGGGGCGGGCGCGCTAGGTTGGGACATGAAGATGTCATCGTCAACCGACACCATGCTGTCGATCTCGCGTAGTGTGTTCTTGAGTGCTTTAGCGACGCTAAGGACCTCTGCTACTGCATCGCCGTCATCGGTCCAACCGAGCGTGCTTCTGGCACCGTCTACTATATCGCCAAGCAGCTCTACGCAGGCCCGACTCCATTCCGTGCATGACATATCTCGAGTGCCCCCACCCCGACGGATCGCCGTAAAGTAGGCGCGACGAGGCGTGGGGGGGGGCAGGGCGTTGTTTGATTCGATTCTAGCACGTTTTCGCGTAGGAGTTGCGTCGACGCGGTCGGACATGGGGACGTAGAAGTCATCGAGGTTTGGCACTGATTTCGGGTCTCCGAACTCGGATTCGAAGGCGCTGGGCGGGCGAGGAGGTGGAGTCTGCGGTAGCAATTGGGGCCAGGCCTCAGTGGTTTGAAATCCACCGCTTGGCTGGGCGTTAGAGGCCCCGGGGTTGGGAGGGAATTGGTTAGCTTGAGGAAGCGATATGGTGAAAGCGTGGGCGCTAAACGAGCTGGTGGGAGTAAGAAGCCAAAAGGCGTCCGCACGTGCTCGTGGTCCTTGTTCGGCAAATGCAGCCGTCTGGCGCCTTCACCTGTTATCACCATGAAGTTCCAAAGCCCCGTCGCAGTCTTTCTCCCTTTCCTCGCCGGCGCATACGCCTCCGTCGACGACCAGCTCCCCATGGCGGACACCCATCATCAAACTCGTTTGAACCCCTTACCTCCTCGAAACCAACTTTAGCCGACCTGCTGACAATTGAATCTTCTGCGTCCATATTTTACTCATACGCACGCGAACTCGAATTGTGCGCGATCTTCTCTGATGAGGGCGTCAACAGCACGCTGCTCGTTCCAACGAACAAGGCCGTTATGGCACTACATCGGAAACCGTGAGTCTTACTACTCCGCTTACTTCGTGTCGTCTCAAAATTCTAACGGTGGCCCAGGCATCAAGGACCTGAAACGGTTAGCGGCGACGTGACGATATCCGAAGAGGAGTTTGATAGTATATCGAAGAGGAACGTCGAGAAATGGATCTCGGCTCATATCATACCAGTACGCCTCTTTCCCCGAGGGACGATCTCAGAATAATTCATTTGATTGACCCAGGAATCGCCTATTACGCTGGAATCGAAGACTTATCCTACAATTCTGCACCGAAAGACCGTTTCGTTCACAGCTCTTCCGAAATCGGACCCGAAAGCAGCTGAGTGGACTCGGGTACTCGTAAACGGCGACGTTCATATCATCGGGATGAAAGAGGTACGCTAGAGCTTCGCCTACACCAATGGTCACCCGTCAATTATCCCTACGCTCGAAGTTATCATTGCCCAATCTTTGGCGAAAGCAAAGTCGACAAGATGACGCCTCCAGCATCGCCGCAAGCTCGATCGATAATGAGTACGAGACAGCGCAGGCCGAGGGCATGGACTTCGAGCTTGTACGACCCAGCTTCAGCCACCTTCATTCCGCAAGAACCAGCGAAGATTCGTCTTTCGTGAAGGACGGAGGGTCCATCGATCTAGGCAAGCCAGAACTGACTATTGGTGGACTCTTGCGAACGGGTAGTCCTGCGATGTCTTTCTCGTGGGCATAGGCAAAGGGAGCTCCGGTGGATTGCGCTGATGTCGTCCGTACCTGCTTCGCAAGCGAGGAAGAATAAGAAGGTGAAGAAGCTTCTAGTAGAGGGTGTCCCGTCCTCCGTGAGGTATCTGGTGCGGATCCATCTGACGGACGGGAAGGCAAAGAATGTGCCGAAGGTATATGAGCAGTTGGTGAAGAGGGGGCATGTACCGAGCTACAAGGAGATCGAAAGGGACGTGCAAGCGTATATTCGAGAGAACTCCCAACCCCCCACGATGAGGGAGTCCATGATGTCGTTACTCGAAGCGTACTTGACCATGGTTCCAGATGTGCAATATAGTCGAGGTGCGTTTTGATTAACTCGCCTCTTCGTGTTTTCAACTGACCGTGATGTAGGTCTAACCTTGATTGTCGGGAATATCCCGTTGTTGGCACCTGAGGAAGACAGATTTTGGACGTTCGTTTTCCCTGATGGACTCGTATCTTCGGCCCTATTTCTCCTCGAGCAGTTCACAGATGGAGGTTGACGCCATGCTGTTCAGCCGGGCACTTGAGGCGAATGATCCTCAGGTGGCCAAGAAAGTATTCACGACAATGTCCCTTAATCCGACCGCTATCTGCTTCCCTTGGTACGCCGCAGCCTCTCCTCGTGATTGCTCCGTACTCACAGATCGTAGGTTTACGGGATACCTGTATATCATATTCGGGTAATCGGTGAGAAATGGTGGAGGAACGGGCTCACCTTCGAACAGAAAGAGATCCCACACTCGCTGAACGTACGATGAAGGGAGCGTGTTGACGAAGAGGGAGGTTCCTTGTTCGCGTCGGTCTCGCCCTCATCAGCACCTGCCGTCGACAAATCCTAGAAGCTACAAGCACAGAGGCCGTCCTCCAGCTACTTCATCATCCACCCTCTTCGCTTCTCCTATCTTCCCCCGACGCTTTCCTTTCTCTCTTGAATTCCTTCAAACTCAAAGACGACTACTTTCGTAAACAAAGGATCAAAATGGAGGCTCAAGTAAAACACCAAACACTCCGGGCGCCTGCGACTAGTTCACTCCCGAAATAATAGCTTTGTTACCATACACAACGGACCTTTGGACATTACCTATCTACCTTTCATCTACCTCGCAACTGCTATCGAAGTTCTCCTGTTCTTGTTTACACTCTTATTTTCTCTGGGATATATATTGGTGCCCAAAAAATGGACGATGATAGACACACTACTAATCTACAGTGTTGCTGAACATACCCAGAGGTTTTGAAATTCACTCCCATCCCTTATGCTTATCTATTTCGTGGAACCACTGTATTATTCGTGTTCATTGTCCGTAGACACGCAAAATATTGTATATATACACAACATGTACAGACAGAATATCCATGGACTTCGACGAGGATGCGGTGATATCGCTCGTGAGCAAGTAACAGAATCAGGAAGAGTGACCGGAAGGATAGCAAAGTGATAGCGATATGGTGCTGGGAAGGGGAGATATAAACAATTGATCATGAGGAGTTGTAAGGTAGGATGGTCGATTGCGATGCGTGTGAGGAGGCGTCAAACGGCATAATGATACATGAGGGCAACGGCGGCGATGACGTTGAACGATGTGGCGGCGGAAGGTATGGCGTAGAGGGAGCCCTGCTGGCAGCGTGTGGTAAACGTTCGGCGGCGGCTAGTACAAATATGAACAAAAGAAATCCGTAAGGTATCGTAGAAAATCCGTACAAAGTACATAATAAACAGTACAAGGAATCCTTTCGAAGATGCACATTGAATAAAGTAATGGAAGATGATATGGCACTTTTGGTCCCAAAGTTGAAGCGATGAGAGGGATGAGGATGGGGAATATGTGGGATGTAATGATATCATCGATGCAAGGTATAACCTGAACGGCGAGACGAAGCGAAGGCCAGAGCCGAGATGTTGTGGGTGAGGAGTCCACCGCCGTTCATCGCCGGGTGTAGTATTGCTTGTCGGGGAAGTTGAAGAGGCGTTTGCCATTGTTCTCGACTTCGACTTCGATGGTGACTTCTTTCTCCACCCCATCAACCATTTGCTTAACCTTCCTCTTCTTGATGGAGGGCGGCATCTTCATTGGTTGATAGGTAGGAACGTTGTCATATGACCAGGATCGTGCTAGAGGACGATAAGAGACTGCGATAATGCAAAGAACACCACGCTACTCACTTTCAATGACAGGACGCCTGTATCCATAAGCTCCATCCTCTACTTGACTTCCTTTGGAAGAGGGAGAGCGAAATGTGGAACTCGAAAGGCTTGGGCACGATCCAGTGTGATCCCGAAGCTTGAGATTGGGTGCAAGAAGCTTCCCCTGTGCTAGCGGGTGCACCAAGGGTCGTTGTTTGGTGGGCGCCGATCGCGACTTGCCTGACGCACACGATGGAGTAAGTGAACGAGCGCGGACGAAGGACGAGTGATAGTTATAGAGGAGGAGTTCGTCTTCGTACGATCGGGGCGAAGGTGCTGGGGTGGGAATAGTGGAGATGTCCTTCGTCCCAACTGTTGAGTAGACACCCTTCGAGCGATGAGCGCAAGCGTTGTGCTTGCGGTAGACTTCTTCCATTTCCGGACGCGCAGCCAAATCGGATGGATTCGTGTCAACTAGGCCATAAACCGTCGCTCTCCATGCATTCGAGCCATCGGTCCATCCGCGAATCTCCTTGAGGGGCTCCGGCGGGGCGATGTAGTTGCCGTATTGCTGGCGTTTGCGGGGCTCTGGAACGAGGCTGCGCAGCATCTTCTTGGCGTCGAAGGGCTTATGAGGTACAGGGGGAGAGATCTCCCATTCGTCTGCAGACGAGGGTGGCGAAACCGACGCCGAAGTTACAAGGGGAGGCAGAGGGGGAAGTGGGGGAAGAGGCGGAAAACCGGAGCGTGAGCTGCTGGAGTTTTGTGAGTCGACTGTAGAACTGGAAGAGTTGGTGGAAGCGGACATGGGCTCCGGAGAGCGTGAAAAGGACTCGCGGGTGGTAGCGTTGGCAAGAGGGAGTATGTCGGATGAGAAGTGCATGTCTGCGACTCTGCATTCATCAGAGCAGTAGAGCGGGAGTGGGGCGGGGTCGATCACCAATCGAGTGCGCGGGGGTTGGGCCTTTGAGTTCGTCTTTGTCTCGACGGCGGGTGTGGGTGGCGGAGGTGGCTTAAGGGCGCCGTTTGGCTTGACGCGGCCCGTTCCCTGAGCAAAGCCGCCAGTCGTGCGTGTGTTTTTTAACTTTTTATCGTTGAGTTTGGTAGCTGATGGCGGGTAGGAATGAGAAAAAGGAAGGTCAGTAGAGCGGGCGGGGCGGGACTCACGAGATGACTGAGGCGAGCTCGGGGGCGGGGCGGGAGCGGGAGCGGGGGGTGCGTCGAGCGGGATGGGGACGAGGTAGCGCTTTGGGATGATTTGTCTGCCGCATACGGGACACCAGGAATCGTCGTAGTCCATGTTGGCAGAGAAAGTGAGAGGGGCAGTGGGAATATCGCCCCCTTCTCTTTATATATAAATCCTCAAACCCTTTTATTTATTTATTTATTTATTTATTTATTTGCGTCCCGATTCCCCGAAACAATCAGAGTAGCCGGTTGTCTTCTCAGACGTAATACCACTACTACCTTCACTCCCTTCGTCGTTCTACATGTCGGTCGTGACCAATAACTTTCTTCGATTCAAGCCCTTGCTGCTCGACGAGGACTCTGACGACGATGACATGCGGTCTACCGTGTCCTCGCTCTTCAGCTCTCCCAGCGACATCGATATGAGCTCAGGGACTTCCTACACCACGGACTCGAACAGGTCAGACTCCCCAGCACCTTCGGTGCTGTCCATGACCTCGTCAATGGAAGCAGCGACATTCAAGATTGAGTACGGTCGCGCGATAAACAGCACCTCGGACGTCTATGGCTTACCTGCAGACGACGAGGAGCTCGATCGTTTGGGTGGGTCACTATCTCGCTTTCGTAAACGTAACTTGATGCCGGTTAGATCGACAGCACCTCCTCTTTATCCAGGTCATGGGTAAATGCCCACGCGTGGTTCGAGAATATCTTACTCCAGCTTTCCCTGGAGACCTCAGGAATGTCCTGGACTTGGGATGTGGAAGTGGAACATGGTGAGTGCTTCAATTGTGGTCACTTGCTACGCTGAGCTTTGCGCTAGGATCATGGAAATAGCACGCGACTTTCCCAATTGTGACGCCGTGGGCGTGGACTTGGTCCCAATGCAGTCCCCGTAGGTATTTCCTCGCTGATGCCTTTCTCACACACACTCAATTGCGCAGAGACATGCCTTTTAACTGCAGGTACGGCACTCTGCCTCTTTATTTCATTTTCATTTTTCTCGGTGGCGCGTTTCACTTGGACCGGGGTCCAAGTTGCCTTTCGAAACCACGTCATTTCTGTTGGCGATCCGTCGATCAGCTGTTTGAAGTTGTAATCACCGCGAAGAATTGCTTTACGCACTGCTCACTGATCCATGCCATGACACACCAGGCCGATCTGGCTTTGGCGTTTGTACAGTAGGGCTGTCGGCGGATGTTTCTGTTTCCTCCTTCCAGTTTTGGGCGTGTTCGAAAGACGAAAGCGACGCTCCTCGCGGCGAAGGTTTATTATGACTTGGGGCCAGAAATAACTCCTTCGCGCTGGGTTTCGAGGGTCTGCTTCCCTTTCCTAGACTCCGTATGCTGCTCGTGTGGACCTGGCCATCCGTTGTCGTGACCGGCTTGTAGGTCGCTGCATTGCCCAAGTCCATCAGTTCTTTGGATGCCTATTTCCCTTCAGAAGTGCCCCTTTCCATGTTTTCAGCATGGTGCTTGTCTTGGCAGCCCGCTTGCTGTATCTTTTGTGGGATGTTTTCCTCTCGGGGTCTATTCTTTCGTTCATCATGCTGCGCCACTCCGCCTCTCATAAACACGTAACTGATAGCCCAAACAGAAGCAAAGTCGATGACATCAACCTCGGCCTGCAGCACTTCTGCGACGACTTTGATTTCGTCCACGCTCGGCTCATTTCGTCTGGGGTAAGGTCGCGCTACATGGCTTAATACGCCGGCTGACTCGGCGATCAGATCAAGGACTTCCCGGCGCTCATCCACGAAATACTATCGTTCCCACAGTTCTTGAAAAAGTTTTGGGACCTCTCAGGAGGAATATTTTTGTAGTCTTTCCAGACCTTCGTTTCTCCTCGGGTTTGGCACAAGCCTAGTTCACATATATGGCTAGCTTGTCGATTTTTCCTGAGTGATTTTTGATTTAATTGAAATGTACAATGCGATGCCGGCAGACGTCTTCAGAATGCACCCACTTCTTGAAAAAGTGTGAATGATCACAGATATTTGAGTCTCCGCAAACCGTGCCGAATCTGCCGAATGTCCAGAGCGCAAGGTCAAGATGTTGCGCGCCAAGGTTCATCGGAGCTGTAATTGATAGGAGCTCATTCACGGTCTCCCCTCGACATTGAATTACTGCTCATGTACGGCAATAGATAACAAATTGAAGAGGCCATTTTACATATATATATACTCTT